TTTGGTATTTTAAAATTTTAAACCACGATGTTTTGTGTGCAAAGTGAAACACTTTCAGTCTATCTCTGATGTGAACGCTGCTTTTCCTTTCTGCCAGGTGACATAAGAGATGCACACAGCAGCACTACAGTATTTCTCTATATTCACTGAAGACATGAGCAAAGCATATTAACCCACTGAGTTACCTCTGCATCCTTCAGCCACACTGGACTTTCTGGTCCACTTGAACTGTGTCCGCATGTCCTGATCTTTTTCATCGGGCAACAGTTTTTCCCGGTTGGCTTCTGAAACCTTACACACAACATGTGGGTGAAATTAAAAAGAAAATAAGTTCAATAAAATTAGAAACAACATTTCCACTCTATCAAATGCATTTATTTGCAGCTGTATTTGTATTTTAATCTACATGTGTGACAGATTTAGGGGTAGGTAGGCCCTGAGAGAGCAGAAAAAGTGATTGAGCTAATTATACCACCACCTCTCTTTTTCCAATTTTGTTTCTGCTTAAGGGGCTTCTTATCTTATCTGAGGAATTTCTCTGAGAGGGCTAAATTGATTGGGAGAGTACAGGACATAGGCCAAAGAAGTCTGACGCTGTCTGAAGATAAAATGGTCATCTTAAAAGTTGACTTGATATTTTCTGGTTACTGCTATTTAAACAAATCTATCAAAATAGATCCCCTTGGTGAAGGTTAGATAGATGAAAGAATTTAGAGGGTATATTGGAGAAGAGTTCTGCACCTTGTTGTTTGTACATCAAAATTATAAAGTACAGTTACATAAATAGCAGCAAACGTTCTTAGCAAATGGCCAATTACACTTAAACTCAACCCTACTTTTAGGACAAATGAATATGATAATGCTCAGATTACAGGATGAGCAGCATTCCAGTTTTACTTTGAAGAATCATGTTAATATTGCATTCAAAATCTACACATTATTCAACTGCATAGAGGGATTTGGCTTAAGCAAGGTAAAAAAATACAGTCTCCGCACGTACATAATATTCTTGACAACTTCAACATTTGTGTACATAATAATTAAGATTAACCCAAGTTAACACATGCGTCAAGGTTTTTTTTTATTTCCATTACCTCAAAAGAATGATGTTGGTCTTGTGGAGCAAAGACACTCACTTTATCAACCATGTATCCCAGAAGTTGTTCAGTCCTCCCTTGCACTTTTGCTAAAGTCTTCATTTTGCTCTTCTGTTCCCCTTGAGTTTGTCCTACAGTGGCGTCCTTTTGCTTCACCTTAATGTCTTAAATTAAGCCTCCACACCTGATCCTTTGATTTTGATTTAATTCAAAGACATAAAACAAGTTGAAAGGCTTCAGAAAAAAGGTCCCTGCCGTCCTAGCCTTACGTCTAACAGAAGCCGACAATTTATGCTTTGCACCAGGTTTTTTTCCCCCTGTGACCAGATGAGGACAGCTGTGGGATCTTTCCTCAGGCCCATCTGGACAAGAGGGGGGTCAATCTGTCCAGACAGGTCCAGCCACGTCTGACAGGTCCCATAGGCTAATTTCAGTCTGTGACCATTCCCAAAGCAGGAGTTTCAACTAACTCACAATAGCTTCAAAAAAAGTGTTTTATTATTACCATTGAGTAGATCATACTGCCTTTATGATTTCCTTTTTTATAGTTTCATTCAATGACTACTTTCACTAGCCTACTGCAAGTCCACCAGTGTAACCAAAAATATGTTTAAATCCTCACTTCATAGAACGCAGGTGAATTTCAGATTCCTGATATTAAGGATATAACTTCTCATCAGCTTCACTCTATTATGAACAAAGAGTAAAGGCTGAGGTCTGAGATGGGAACCTGTGAAGTGTGTGAGAGATCCCCATCCTGTGGTAAATCTGTGAAACATCATGACTCAGCCTTGGCTCTCTGAAATGACATTTGTAGCTGTTTTGACTCTTGAGTCTGGAATCTGTCCCGTCTGTTCAGAGCACGTTGGTCACCTCTGATTGGATTTGATTGTCTGCTAGCCAGATTTAACAATTAATTAGATTCCTCTGGCTTAAGCTTACAGTTAACATTTTATGCATTTACAACTGGATTAATTACTTATTTGTTGAAGGCATAAAAAGTACTACATGTGGTTTTGATGTTTTTATACGAGATTTTTGCATAAATGCATATTTGGCATAAGACAAGGTGTGGTTGTGGTTGATATGTGATTGCCAGCTTCTTTCAGTTTTTCATTTGCATGTTCTGATTATGTTCTCATAACTTTTTAATGAAAGGTGTCTCATCCTTATTTATGCCATCTGGTTGTGGGTTATATGTACCCGAGACAGTTTATCAGAAAGTTAAAAGATGGGGAATCAACGGATTTTGCTAAAAACTTTAAATACAGACAAAAAGAAAGGGAAAATGTCATGGTTCTTCAAGGAACTTTCTTTAGTTTAACCAGTTTTTAAAAATTGTATCCATACCAGGTTGTATGGATAACACCGGTGATGAGTTGAAAGATGAAAATGACCAAAGCAGTGAGTAATCCCCTCCATAAGCTGTTGTAAGTGGGATGAGCTAAGCACTCTAAAGACTCTACGAAGACTCCTCCTCTGAGTTTTATGTCATGACGACAATATGTGGGATGGAAATGGGTAACGTACCTCTATTTACAGGCCCAGGAAGAAACTGTGACCTCTCTGCTCTGAAAACACAGTAGGAGTGTTGGAGGAAATCAGAAGTCGTCCACAAGAAGTCACAGAGGTGTGACACACACGGACCGACACATGGAAACATCTACATTTACAGTGATAGATTACCGTTTGTGGTGAGTGTATATACATTTATGTTATGTTCATATGTTAGTGCCAGATAGTTTGATCAGAGTAGAATTTACATTCTGTAATGATGGAGGGTGGTAGATGCTGTAGCTCAGTGACTAAAAATGACTGACGTTTTGAATATTCCTAACTCACAGCTCTGTTGCTGAATGATTCCGCAGTGTCAGGAAAACTCAAGTACACGTGTAAACATTTGTAATAATAATAATAATAATAATAATAATAATAATCTTAATTTGTAGAGCACTTTTCAAAAACAAGTTACAAAGTGCTTTAACAAGTGTAAAGACAATAATACCCAAAAGACAATAATACAAAAATCAATACAAGATAAAAGCAAGAAAACATTGAAAAGACTAAAATACACATTTAAGATAAATATAAAAGAAGTAAAATAGAATGAAATTAAAGGGATTAAAATAAAGTCAAATAAGATCGGGAAAGGCTCTCCTATAAAAGTATGTTTTAAGAAGGGACTTAAAAGAGTTCACTGACTCAGCCGACCTGATTTCCTCAGGCAGGCTGTTCCAGAGCCTCGGGGCCCTGACAGCAAACGCTCTGTCCCCTTTAATTTTCAGTCGAGACTCTGGTACAGACCTCTGCCCGAGGATCTCAAGGTACGTGCTGGTGTGTATGGGACTAAAAGGTCAGAAATATAACAAGGCGAGAGGCCATGAAGAGCTTTAAAAGTGATCAATAAAATTTTAAAGTCAGGTCTAAAACACACTGGGAGCCAGTGTAATGAAGCTAAAATTTTTGCTATATTTCTAAGTTGATAAAAAACACGATTGAACAAGCTTTGTGGTGTGCTGCTCGAAATTTAAATTACTATCAAAACATTTGCATGTGATTACACACACACTACATTACAGAACAGTAGCCAACAGTTAAGTTGGCTTCAGAAAGGAGTAGAAGTCTACTTATTTTCCAAAACAAAACACAGACATAAAGACAAGAAAAATGACATGGAACTCCAAGAAACTCTCTTTAGTTTAGCCAATTAAAAAATTATACAAGTACCAGGTAGTACACAACATGAGTTGACCAGGGTCACATGTGACTGAGGTTATTCTGAGGTGGGTTGTTCCTCATTTAGCCTGTGTCTTCAGCAGGGCTTTTAGATGCTGATCCAGTTACTCAACAGCAAAGGAAGACTGAGCTCATACAGCCACACCCACTCCATGACACACAAATAACACACACATAATCCCTGACTGACAGACTCATGTTATCCTATGTCAATCTGACAATAAGCAAACCTTTGATCTTTCCGTGCCTGAAGCCTTACACATTATATACCAGCATGTTGTGATTGACCAACTACTTCATGCCTACAATGAGAAGCTGATTTTAACTTTATGTGTAATGATGGAGAGCTTTCCAGGGAGGAAAGATTCATCCTTTCTGGGTTTCCATCTCCAGAGCATACCTGATAGCACCTTTGTTTCTATAGACAACATCCAGCAGTTTCTGCAAGACTACTTTCTATTTTTGATTTTCTTGTAGATGTAGCCAAAGGATACACTAACATCTCGCCTGTTTTGCTGTTGGAAGATGGCCACCGCATCGGAGGACCCCCACCTGGGCTCAGGCCCTGATGAGGACGGCATGTCTCTGTTGGAGAGCGAGTCCGATTCAGACAGCATTCTCTCTGACGACTCGGTGCTTCCACAGCACATGCCGGAGATAGCAAACGGGCGTGCAGCATCAACACTGTATCAAGCATGCGCTCGTAATGAACCCGTCTCTCTGCGGAAGATTCTGGATAGAGGGGTCACAAAAGAGGAAGTCATGGAGCTGGACATCAATGGCTGGGTGAGGGTCTCATTCATAATGCTAATAATTCAGAAGCTGTAAATCATAGCTCCAGCCTGCTAAAATGTCTAAAACAGTGGTTCTCAAAGTAGAGTCTGTGAACCTCCAGAGGTTGTTGAGAGGTCCCCAGCAGACCCCCTGGAATTCCATCCATAAGTAAACCAATGACAGAACGTATGACTATTTTGGTCATGGATTTCATTCACTTTCTGTAATAAAATATCTAAAATCCAAAATCCTATCAGATGTGCAATCCTTAAACAAAATCTTTTTAGATGGGGCTCGTGGTCTAATTTATGTCAATGTAGGGGTCTTTGAAATGAAAAAGTATGAGATCCACTGGTCTAAAACACCCCCGCTGTCACTGATCCTTACCGTTATTACCAACAGAATGGCTTGATGGTGGCTTGCTTCAAAGGTTTCGTGGACATTGTATATGGGCTCCACAACTGTCCCTTTATAGACATAAATCACCAGGACAATGAAGGCAACACCGCTCTGATGATTGCATCCCAAGCAGGTAAGTCGTACCTATACACCAAACATTGACAAAACAAAACAAGACATAGGTCAAGATCAGATGATAAACCAGTAAAGTACAACACAAATGAATGAGCTGTAGTGTAGTTAGTTAGTACTAAATATCATACATAGCATTATGTGACTTATATAGACTTAAAACTGTCAGGCTTTAAAGTTTTAATCTGACCATGATGCAGTCCCAACAAATATCTTCATCTGAACTGAGACTTTTGTGAGCAGCAGAACCAATTTTCAGACGTTAGCACATTTTCTGACACACGTGTTGATCTGATCTCTGATTCCTGATTTTTTCATCTCCAGGACACGTCAACACAGTCATGTTCCTCCTAAATTACTATCCTGGTACAGACCCTGAAATAAAGGATTGTCGAGGTTTCACGGCCCTCATCAAAGCTGCTATGACCGGCCGCAATGACGTCGTGGCTGCCCTTGTTATGGCTGGTACGTAAGCGCACGGGCACACCTGTGATCTTTATGGCACAAAATTCACTTATTCATGACAATTTCCAATTTATTGTCTTTCGAGACTTGGAAAACTATTTTAGTTTGTGATTCATTTTGATCAATTTATTGCATAACATATTAGGATCTTCCTGACATCATACAAATACATCTACATGCTATTCACCGATTAAACATCATACTTAAAGAGGTAATTTTATACTGCATATTCATTTTGATTTGAATATAAAGCCAATAAATAGATTTCTAATTTGCCAATATGAACCACTCAGTCACTTGTCAAACCTTTTACTAAGTAACAACATGCATTTACATATAAAAAATGCTCAGGTGACTGATAGTATAGTTTTCTTGCCAGGACTCCAGGCATTCAAAGGCCAAAGTTTTACAATTACTATTCTTTGTAGCTTCTAAATCCACCACTTAAAAAACCTTTGGCTTTTCACAGTGTTGCACTCACAACTCAGGAGCTGCTGTAGTATGACATTATTAGGTCTTTTTTGAAACCCTGAACATTAGCTCATTAACCCTCACAGCTCTAAATGAACAGCACCGGTGGTGAGAGTAGCTGAGCCCACAGTTTATCTGTCCATATTTGAAGCCAGCTAACTCTGTTCACGAATGAACGTGCATGTGACGTCAGACCGGTTTAAGGGATCATTCTGAGGACGTTTTCGCATCTAAACACAGCCTCCTGTAATCTCTGACTGATGAGTCTTCTAGGCTGGTTGTAGATTAGCCACTTGCAGAGCTATTTGTAGACTGCACATGTTTCTTAAACTCTCTGCTTGTCATAATTTACTGTTTAACATTTTTTAACATAACTTTAGTCTGTGAAATGTTAAAAAGCACTGAAAAATGGCAACTTCACAATCTCACTGAGCCCACAGTAATGTCTTCACTTAGCTTGTTTTGTCCAACAAATGTTACCATGTTACAGTGGGAAAACACACAAGTGTAATTAATCATTGTTAATGGCAAGTAGCCTAAATGAGGCTTTTCAATTACAGGTACCTGTGCTTGTGCATGCTGGCTCACTGGTCTGGCCTACTGGGACATTTACCTGTAAACTGGAATAGAGCCATCGTTAATGTGATTAACAACACCTGTGCTTTTCTTACAATGACAAGCCAAAATTTCAGCCATGGAAAAGGCGTGCCGGCCTAAAAGAGAATGAATGCTTCATTCATTTCATAATTAAAATGAACCCTTACTTTTCCTTTGCTCTAATTTTTATTTTCAGGAGCTGACATTCATGCAGTAGACACCACAAGAGGAAAATGCGCTCGGGACTGGGCACTGAAAACAGGTCGCTATGAGACTCTCTATCGTCTCCGACGCCTCAATATGCGACCAAAAGCTGAGCAGTTCTGTGAGAGTTATGTCCCTGAGTGGCCTGAGCTTAAAGCGAGAGTAGCCAAGGCCACAGCTGAGAAAAGTGCCACGGGAAAAATCACCCAGCACCTCAAAAATACATTCGGGTTCAGACTTCCTCGTGACCCCCAGGATAACGGGTGCTTGGACCACATGGTGCGCATGACCACCAGTGTCCACAGTCCCCTTATTTCGACTGGATGCCACCCACTGTGCCCTACAAGCCCTCCTGAGGTTGGGAAGAGACGCCAGGCTGTGCAAGAGCTGGTGAAGAATCACCCAGAGAAGGAATTAGAAGAGAGCTCAGTGTGCCATAGCAACGGCTCAGTTTCACACATCATTCCCACAATCTACTCTGCAGAGTCCATCTCTACAACGTGCTGTGCCGACACTGAGCGACGAGGCAGCATCCTCTCATTGGCTTCCGCCAAAGTTGCGACTACATTTATTTCCCGCAGTATGGCGAGAAAGAACAGCGTATTCCCCTCGGGCTGCATCCCCAAAATCAACGTCAGCAGGCCTTCAGAGGCAACACCAAAGAAAGAAAAGAAGAAGAAGAAGGAAAGGGGCTTCTTGGAACCACCCAAGTGGAAATACAAGGAGATGAAGGATGAGAAAAAGAAGGAAAAGAAGAAAGCTGAGAAAGAAAAGACAGAGAAAAAGGAGAAAAGAAAAGAAAAACACAACAAGAAGGCCAAAAACTAAGAGTTTCAAAAAAGAAGAGTTATGCTCTACGAATCATCCCTTCTAAGAACAAGATGCGTTTTAAAAATGAGTTCCACTCAGGGCTTGAAATTTTTAAACCAAATATCTCAGAAAAATTCAGCAAATATTGAACCTAAAATCTAAAGGGAAAATAGCGCAGAGATTGTTTTTTTAGTTCCAAAACAAAATACTGTAACAGAGGATCTCAAAGGAGCCCTGTAAAGACTCTTTGGCAGGGGTCCGAAGCTTTTAGTCTCTGATGTCTAAAAGTTGAGACAAATATTAAATATATTCAGGATATAAGTTAGTTTTCAATGAATATCTTCAAAATTTGTAGACTAAAATAAGACTAATTTTAATTATTATGGTACAATGCACAAAACCAATGTTTCAGAAGCATGTATGCCTACCTCATCATTAGCATAAAGACCTCCATACTCATGTCCTATGCAATATGTAAATATAGACACACATAGCTATATAGCTCATTTGTGTTATTATATTTTTTTATGCTTTGAATAAGTTATTTTTGTAAACAGCTAGCCAAAATCAATTGTAAATACTGAACAGTATGTAGTTAACATGCCTCACAATGAAGGATCTGTTTAATCCTCTAGCTCAGTTCTAAGTTTTATTGCCACTATCTGATATTGCCAATAAACTGATATATCTCCTGCTTTTATTAACTTTGTGAGTGAATGGATTAAATTAGCTTGAAATTACAAATAAATATAGGATAGTTAAAGTTTTCATTCAATCACTTAAGCTGGCAGGCTAACTTCCTCTCTTCCTTCCTCTCTTCACTCTGCTTATGGTGACGTTAAGTCCAGCTGGTCTGGCTGGGTCAAAAGATGCCGTGGGCAGCGACCGTCTCAAGGTCTGCTGTACTTAATCCAGTTCCTAAGCTTCCTTTTCCGATGTTCATAAGTGCATTTCTGTAGCAGGCTGCCTGCATATAACTAATGATTGATTTCTAACTAGCTAAGAGCCATGCAAGGCAGTGGCGGCGTGGGTCTGGCATTAACTGCTTCGTGGCATTGGTTGAGAGGGTGATTTACAAACGGCAAGCTGGTCAGTGTCATAGAGCCAATGGTCCAAATAAAATATAGGAACATTACACATTGTTCTAAATATTTTTGTAATTTATTTTCCAGCATTCATTAATTTCCAGCATATTATGATGCTCGCTCATGCCTACAGACAGTGTTGGGAGTAATGCTTTACAAAAGTAACGCAATTACAGTAATGTATTGCTTTTTTCTGTAATGCAGTAATATAACGCATTACAAAAAAAAAAAAAGAAGCAATTTTATACCCCTTACAATCTCAGTAATGCACATTACAACGCATTTTAACCCAACATTAAGAGGTGGGGTTTTTATTATAATTCATAATAGGGCTGACCCCAAATAATCGAAGATTGGATGCTTCGATGGGCAGAGCCTGATTCGACTGTCAATCTCACAGTCGCAGCGAAACAAGGATCATGCCATTTTGGTGATATGGGGGTGCTCAACGTCTGATTTTACATAGATCTACCAGTTTTCTCCCAATAAGTTAAAATACAGCCTATTACAATATACACTGCAATATTTAATGCTGTTAATAACAATGTAAAAAGAAAAAAACTTTTAATTAATGTTTTTAAAGTACATGAATAAATCTAAAATTGCGTAGGCGTAGCGTGTATGCGTGCAGTGGCAGTGGAGGAACACTTGCTGAAGAGACGGAACCCCAGCTTCACTAGTGTTGTGCAGAGTTGTCCGCACCTTGCGGGACTTTCAGATAATTTATTACAGTTGATGAACCACACAAAGAATATTTTATAATTTTTAAATAGCGTGCTACTTGAAATAGACCCGCGAGTAACTGTAACATGAATGCAGATGTAACAGCAAGACCGGTGAATGACAGGCGAGAGAGAGAGAGAGAGAGAGAGAGAGAAAAGGGTCTTCAAAAAGCGTCAGTTTAGCGTAGTGTAATTCCCCCACCCCCGCAATTGCCGCGCACAAAAACACACGATTCTAGTCAACTATAGGCAGGACTTGACGATTCTGATTCGACTATGTAAGTCAATGTTAGTCGGGGACAGCCCTAATTCACCAATCCCGAGAAAAACTAATTCAGGAGTAAAAGAGTAACATTATTTCCTGTAGCAGGAATCCAATGGTCGAGACTGTTGGCAGGGTCCAAACTATGGGGGTGCCTGGCTCCTCTTAACAATACAGTAGCTCCCTTGTTGGATCAAGTGTAAATAGATTTCAGTAGCCTATGTGTTTTCTTTAACGAATTACTTTCATGATTAGATAGGCTGCTTTTCATCCTGACCGATCCTGTCAGAGTGTTGGGAGATTCAAATCATCAATGACGTTATGCTGCTCTACCTCGTGCCTAAATGCTTACAGCGTCTTTCTTAATGGGGATGATTCATCCCATTTCACCCCCACCCCCGGCTATTAATCAGAAGGTAAATTTTTATGACAAAGACCCACAAGATCCACAGATATAACTGTGAACATCACTACAACCCACCTATGCAGCACATCTTACTATCAGAATAATGTGCCCATTGAATAGCAGTGAAAGTAACTCGGAGATAATGCAAAAGTAGTGTAAAGCATTAAAATTCAGAGACTATAATATTGTAATATAACTAATTACTCTCAAATGACAGTAACCAGTAATCTATAATGTATTACATTTTGGAAGTAACTTCTGCCTACAGAGTACGAGCCTTGCAACAGGATGCTGACTGCAGTTAAGTTCGGGGCCACCAGTGTAATTAATAAGGGTTTACTGAAAGTTACACATACAAAGGCTGAAGGCAGGGAAGACTGAAGATAACAATCAGCTGACAGAGAGCAGTGTGTGTAGCTGGCATGTTTGCAAAGCTGGAGGTGTTAAGAGAGAAAAGCACTGACAAAATACAATAAATACAACAAAATATTTGCAGAAGCAGCCTTTCTTCCTTTCCTCTAATAATGTGGGGCTGATCAGCAACGAGAGGCCAATGAAGTGGAGATGTAACGTTAGCTAGGACCTGGTGCTTACAAAAGTATTGGTCTGCATTTCAGTCGCATGTCTCTCAAAGCTCTCTGTCTCTCATATCCATTATTATATTATATCATCATGATGTTGACCTTTAACAGATAGATAGATTCTCTCTCTCTCTCTTTCTTTCTTTCTCTCTCTCTCTCTCTCCACTGTGTCTGTGCTGCAGCCTGCTGGTGGAGCATGTTAGTAAACTGTAACGTTACACTGAGCACTGACAGCCTGGTTAGCTGTCATCACGCCTCGCCACATCTAACCTTAGCTAAATGTGTTAATGCGATGAACCGGGAATTTATTGATCATGGCTAACCTTCGGATTTCGTTAGTTGTCGTGGTTGTTCAGGCGGTCCTGTACAGAACCTGTGAGGGTAAGTGAAGTACTGTTTGTTTTGTCCATAAGCTCAGTACAGCTGCCATCATCAATGCGAACGACAGTGGCGTTAGCTGCTAGCTTACGTTAGCTAGCTTAGCTAGCGTAGCCGAACGATTGAATCGACCCACAGATAGGAAACCATGTCAGCCTTTATTTGTATTGACCAGGGTCTTATTTAAATGGCCATGTAAATGTGCCGAACACGATATCTCACCGTCTTTCTGTTAGCTATCGAGCTAGTTAGGCTAGTCTGAAATGGCGTGTTTAGGTAGCTGTCAGCTCAGTGAGTGATAAACACAGCTATGTTGCTTAACTTAGCTTTGGAGCTGGACAGCTCTTTGTAGTAATATAGTATTTTGTGAGCGTTGCATTGCCTCTTTTCCTCACAGTGATGTTGTCCAGAGACTCCGTACATGAAACCAGTTAACTAGATAATGATGTCTTGAGGACATTAATATGTGTCAAGATTTCAGAGTTCAAATGTTAATGTAATAACAATGGATGTGCTCAAATGACCTGTATGCAGACATTAGTAATCTCATGTCTACAGCATGACTGGATATGGAGATGCAACTCTTTTTACAATGTTTCTATATTGTGTATTACACCAAGTTATCTTGCAGTAGATTATTTTACAGTTTATCATGAGTTGGAGGCTGGGGTGTCTGATGTGTTCCCCTTAGTGTCTTAAGTTTTTGACAGGTTAATAATATATAGGGCAGTGCAAGAGTGGGTTGTATAACAGCCTTTTAGTCATTCAGATTTCCTAGAAATTCAATGAAACACATTTATAGATTTTAAAAAAAGCAGATGGGAATGTCTGTAAGAAACATCACATTGATTAAAAAATCTTGTAGTATTGTAATCTTCCAGTATTACCATAAATAAGTCTAGGAGAGCAACTAACAATTATTTAGAGCAAATTATCTTCTTAAATGATTTGATGATTTTTTTTCCCTATAAATTGTCTGACTGTAGTGAAAAATGTGTTCCACAGTCTAAAACCCTAAAGACATTCAGTTTTCAGTGAAGCACATTTGAGGAGCTGCAATGAGAGAATATTTGGTGTTTCTGCTTGAAGAATGATTGAAAGGATTTTCAAAATAGTGGCTGATTAATTTGAAACAGAGATATTAAAAGAATAGTTGTCCCAGTATGAATGGTTGACACATTTTTGTCTTTTAAAAAATCCCCAACGTCTAGGACAAAGTGATGAACAGAAACCATTCCCTTTTCTTTCTTCTGTCTTTGCAACCTGTGAAATGTGCTAGAGAGACATCTTGCCGATACAGCACATTTCTTTGCACCCACACACAGTGCACTGTATTGTGCACACTGAGACATGTTAATTCTGTCCCCTTCATTGACTTCATGGAACATATAGTTGTTGCTTGGGGTGTGAGACATGTCATAAAATATTGCATCTCACTCCGGTTGTGTTCAGGTTGAAAACTGAAAAACAAGATCAAAGATGAACCAGTGTTCAAGCAGCTGAATTCCAGTGGGAACATGAGCTGTTGTGTCCTTTGTAGAAGAAAAATTATTTTACATTGCGATGTATTTAAATCACTGAAATGTTTTGAGTCGTGAAATTTATAGCCATGGAAAGTATGAAGTGTCAGTCTCATTTTAGGGTTAGTCACCAGCTATCTTCCTTATTTCCTGTCTGGTTGCTTTGTTTCTCGCATTTGACAACAAGCATCTGCCAAGTAGGTGTTTGCATTGTGTGAGTCAGCGGCACAAAAGATGTCGTAACGCATTAACTCTAAATTTCCCCTGTTCGACAAAAATTACACTGAAGTTCAGCTGCATGTTCAGTGCTGGTTTTGTAACAAACGCATCCAGCACAAAGGCTCTGGCTAGTCATTTTTCTACAGCAAATCCACTGAGGGATTTCTGAATTACTGGAATGTCACATCACATCTGTGTCTTAATAACATTACCGAATTTCACAGAGGAAGTCTTGGTCTCATGTTAGTCAAATGACAGTCAAGGCTGATCATTTCATCTCTACTCCTACATTCCCCTCACATAAACTCTCCACCCATCCTCCCAAACCCCTGCCACCCTTACACACCCAACCCCATCTCAAACACTTCCTCTACTTCCTGATCTCACCAGTGTGCCTCCCCCCCAATCTCTCTGTCATAACATCTCTAGTTTATCTATGCAAGACATCATTCATCGGAAAATTTCATCAGTTCATCGCTGATAAAGTATTACTCGTTATTGTCCTCTTATGCTTATGATGATGTTATGTACACTGTTACTGCTGGCTGTTACTGCCCTCTACTGCACATGATGTGTACTGTATGTTCCTGTACAGCTAAAATGAGAATAAGCTGTTGACTGGTGATGCTTTGTAACAATACATTCACAACCTTATAACAATATTCAGTATTCATCATTGCAGTGCTGGTAGACCAAAGTTCAGTATTTTTAACTGAGCAAATGCTTATATTTCACACTGTTGCTTCTGCTGCCCCCTCCATCTCTGCAGCTCTGCTGTGTAACTGTACCACTGCCCAGTGCGAGAAGACTGGGTCCCAGTGTGAGACTGACGGAGCCTGCATGGCCTCCACTTCCTTCATAGATGGCCAAGAGCAGCACATCCGTACCTGCATCACACGGGAAAATCTCGTTCCCCCCGGACAGCCGTTCTACTGCCGCAGTGCAGAGGGCCTGCTCAACATCCACTGCTGCTACACTGACTACTGCAACAGCATTGACCTCCAAGTACCCTCAGGTGAGAACTGTGAAGTATCGCACAGCATGTACAGTATGATCAGTTACACTTATTGTTGCTATCACCGAGTATTTTTCATTCTTGTATGATAAAAACACAAATATAAATCTGTCACACGTCTTGCAGGAAATGCATTATACAAAAAAGTATGTCCTTACCTGGAGAACACCTTACACCTGCTCCTAACACACAGTGAGTGAGCAAACCCCAGGAAAGTGCATGCAATAAATTGTCCTGCGTACACTGCTGTTCAATTAGTAGGTCTGAGGAGGGGCTTCTTAACTTAACCCCTGAAAATGAATGAGTGCTGTAGTAAGAACATGCATTCATAAATGGTCTGTGATGTTATCTAAAGTATCCCAGCACCTGTTAAGAGTTTCCTACACATGTTTGTGACTCAAGGTTACTGAGAAGATAAGTGTTTCCTTTGGTGTATTGTACAGTGTCCTAAAATATGTGAGATGGGAAGTGGGGAACTATTGCGACACAATATTGTGGACAGTATCTATCCCCAGCATGAACAAAAAAACATAAGTAGTTCATATGAAGCTTTTAACCGCAAAGCAGCACTTTAGAAGCCTGGTATAAACAATGTTGCTGACATTTTAACATGAAAAATAGGTGTAAAAGACTACAAATTTCTTCCTTGCACAGTGTGCACGTTCGGTGACCTTGGAATGATTATGGCACCAGGATCATTTATGTTAGAACCAGTTATAGGGCTTTGAAACACAAATAACTTCAAGGACCCAGTAAATAAAATTGGAGTTGAGGAGACACCCAAAACTCAACAAGAGCATCACAAAGACAAAGCACTTCTGAAAAATACGAGAGTGGTTGAGAGAGAGCGAATAAGCAGACCTTTAACCATATTAGGATGCTGTTAATGTAATTTCAACACTCCTTGTACATTGTTTTTCAAAGTAAAAGCCTTTGAGTGTAGAGAATTGAGCAGTTCTTTATTAAATAACTGGGAATAATCAAGACAAGTTAATACAAGGGTCAGACTTTGAGATTTCTAATTGTCTGCTTAGCCAAAAGCTTTACACTGTCATTCCTCAAGGACATGAAGCAGTACATATAAGTGAATAGAGTCAGTCTTATGTGTGTGCTGAGTGAAAGATGTTGCATTTAAATTCCCTGCTATTTTCTTTTCAGTTACGACTCAGTCAGGACTGGGGGAAGGCTACGGCCCAGGTGGGACATGGGGGCTCGTAGAACTAGTCGCTGTGACTGCAGGGCCGCTATTCTTGCTGTGTCTGCTGCTGCTGGTGGGTATGTTCCTGTATCAGTACCACCGGAGGGCCTACAGCCACAGGCAAAGGCTAGAGGTGGAGGACCCCTCCTGTGACCACCTCTATCTGGCCAAAGACAGGACCCTGCAGGACCTCATATACGATCTGTCCACTTCTGGTTCAGGCTCTGGTCAGTCCTCAGAATGATACCACTCATGTTGCGGTTTACACTGTTTTTTTTTAGATTAAAATGTGTATCAGACCACTGTTAATGAGTGATTCTCATCTTTTTGGAGCAGGTCTGCCTCTGTTTGTCCAGCGGACCGTGGCCAGAACCATTGTCCTCCAGGAGATTATTGGGAAAGGGCGTTTCGGCGAGGTGTGGCGAGGACGTTGGAGGGGCGGTGACGTGGCGGTGAAGATCTTCTCATCCAGAGAGGAGCGCTCCTGGTTCCGTGAGGCTGAAATCTATCAGACCATCATGCTCCGCCATGAAAACATCCTGGGCTTTATAGCTGCTGACAACAAAGGTGCACAACCTGTGACAACACAACATACTCTGTTTTCCAGGCAAAGACTGGATGGATAATTTACAGCCTATTTACAGGTTATTGATGTCTGTATTTGTTGTGTAATAATTCACCATTCTCAAGTAAACTTATCATTTCTATGGTATCTCTGTTTCTGCCTCTTGCCCAGACAATGGCACATGGACCCAGCTGTGGTTGGTGTCAGACTACCATGAGCATGGCTCTCTGTTTGACTACCTGAACCGCTACTCTGTCACTACTGAAGGAATGATCAAACTGGCACTATCGGCTGCCAGCGGCCTTGCACATCTGCACATGGAGATTCTTGGAACACAAGGTAGTGTTGGTATAAATGTGCGTTTGTATTTAAGCATTCTCCTTTTTTCATGGCTTCAACCTTTTACTAAATATGACGGTGCCGCTCCCACCTGGAAGATAGTAGTATAAGTTACAGAAGGTCTTTTCAAAGTCAAGTCTGCTCCCCACATCACTTTCTCATCTGTTCATGCTGAATATGTCACAACAGTATGTAGATGTTACCCACAAAAACTTTATTATGTAGTTAACATTCTCCATAATGTTCTGTTCTTGAAAACATTTTATTATTGAAGGGGTGTCTGAATTGTTGAAATTGTTTTATTGCTCTCATGCAGGGCTGCAACTAATAATTAGTTTAAGTTGATTAATCAGTTGATTATTTTCTCTCGATTAGTTGTTTGGTCTAAAAAATGTCGATCAGGCCAAGACGACGTCCTCAGATTTCTTGTTTTGTCCACAATCCAAAGATATCCAGTTTACTGTCATATAGGAGTCGAGAAACCAGAAAATCACATTTAACAAACTGGAATCAGAGAATTTTGGACATTCTTCACTCAAATCGATAAACCAATTAACAGTTGATTAATTTAATAGTTGACAACTAAATGATTAATCATTGCAGCTCTACTCGCATGTCTAAGTCATCTGTTATCATAATGTTCAACTGTTGTGATGGTCATGTACAGTGCATGTATAGTCTAGCGTCAGACATTATTTACTGCTAAACATTAAAATAGGTAATAATTACCACCGGATGAAAACTTGCATCCATTATCTCCTGTATGTCTTTGAAAGCAGTTCACTGCTGAATCTTCTGCTTAACTAATTAATGGAAATTTAAAGTGCAGTTGAGGACATTTTGTTGCACAAGTGGGGGAGTGTTTTCTATTTTTATCAACCAGACTGATGGCCAAAAAATTGCATAACGTGTTGTTGTTTCTAGTATAACAACATAAAACAGTTCAGTGTTGATGTTGACTTCTTAAAAAAATAAAATAATTAGAGGTAAGAATTCACAAGTGTCTGTCGTGTGCGTTTATGTTTTGGTAGGAAAGCCAGGCATCGCCCACAGAGACCTGAAGTCCAAGAACATCCTCGTGAAGAAGAACTGCACCTGTGCCATCGCTGACCTGGGCTTGGCTGTCCGCCATGACTCTGCCACAGACACTATCGACATTGCGCCCAATCAAAGGGTGGGCACCAAGAGGTCTGTTTCGAGATGCACGCCTGCAGCTTTTTGGCCACCCTTTCTCACAGATATCTTTTGATACCTTTCCCAGAATATCCTTTAATTCTGTGCATCATTACAAACTGGGATTGTTTTTACGTCTCACAGGTACATGGCTCCAGAGGTTCTGGATGAGACAATCAACATGAGACACTTCGACTCGTTTAAATGTGCTGATATCTACGCTTTGGGACTGGTCTACTGGGAGATTGCACGCCGCTGTAATAGTGGAGGTCTGTTTTGTTTTTACTCTGGATACTCAACCTGTGTTTGTTTTATCAGTGTTAACAACTGAGAGCACAGCACTGATCTTAACCTCAGCGTTGTTCTGTGTTATCAGGTATCCACGAAGAGTACCAGCTGCCCTACTATGATCTGGTCCCTTCTGACCCTTCAATAGAGGAGATGAGAAAGTTGGTGTGTGACCAAAAGCTACGACCCAACATCCCAAATTGGTGGCAGAGCTATGAGGTATAAAAATTGATTATAACAAAAAGTGTGGTAATGTTTTTGAAGATCTGAACCTAGGGTGGAACAGTAATTCCAATTTATTACAACATGGGTCTTATTGTTGACTCGTAATGGTAACATGACAGTCATCAAGTTAATTGCTGAGATTTAGGAGCAGTGTGAAATAACTAAACAGAAGTCAAAGAGGTTATCAGATTACTCCCATAGGGTAAAATTATTATAGTATGGTTAATTATTATTCAAACTGGTAAATATTTGTCACACTGTTCAGAGACCCTCTTCCATTAACAGTTTCCCTGTGCCATGAGGGATGCACCTGTCAGATGCAGGCTTATTAACAACTAGAGTCAGATATACATTACACATTGACTACATTTGTATCCTCATAATCATGTATACTATATTGTAAGCTCTTAATCCTTTATCTGCTTCCAGGCCTTGCGGGTTATGGGCAAAATTATGAGGGAGTGTTGGTATTCTAATGGAGCTGCCCGCTTGACGGCCCTGCGCATCAAAAAGACCCTGTCCCAGCTCAGCATTCAAGAGGACATTAAGGTCTGAGCTAAGCAAGCAGATCGCTGAGATAGAGCACTGAGCAGGCCCCGACTCCAGACCATAGGACACTGAGTGGAACGGGCCGAGGCCTTCTACAAAGAGTGCACAGAGAAAGAGAATATGAGTCGCACTTTGTAAAATATTACTCTACGGACACTCCTGCCAGTTTTGAAACCACTTGATTTTTGACAAACCCTACCTCGCTTACCCAGCCAAACTACCAAGAACACCTTTCCTGTCTTGTCCTTAGCTCCTGCTGCCCTACCTGAACCTTTTTGTTCCTCTCTACACTCCGCACTAACAAGGATCCTTGGATTTCCTGTGTACTTGTATGCAATCAATAACAGGATATGTAATTAACTAGTTACCATTTTGAAAGTCAGTCGCTGATATTTCCACAAGTCTCTTTGATCACAGTTGCTTAATAGTTAACACACAGCATTCACTATTTTTGTCGCTGAAAGGTGGGCATGCTGGGAGGGTTAAGAGTGTTTTTAACTTACTTTTACTTTTTCTGTTTTTAAATGACCAGATTGTGTTGTTTATACTCTATGGGTTATTGTGCAGGGTTCTCTGTGCCACCTACAGGCACACAGTCACACCCCAAACTGCATAGAAGTCCTTCAATGAGAATAATTCATCTGTTTCTGCTACAGCCTTGTACTCTAGTTGCCTGCTGATTACCATGTAAGCATGTATAAAGCAGTAAGCTCTCCCAAATCCTCAGGTTTTCCTTATGCTTATCAATCAACACTTTTTTTGTCTGATTAGAAGCATCTTAAGCAAAATACACATTTAGGAATTATTGTTAAATGTGTAGTAAAGCAACAGCTGCCAGTGACAACTTCTTAGCTGACACACTCCCTAATTCCAGCCTGGGACACATGTAGCATGTACATGTAGAATATTTAAATGGTAGTATTCCTGCGTGAATGCAGTCGACGCACGAGAGTGAACGTTGCTCCAGTCCCTCAGAGAAGCTGGTATATATTCAGATAAACCTTCGCCCTTTGCAGCAGGAAGGACTATTGTACACTGTAGCTTCAGTACAAGGCACATTTTTAATCCATTTGAAAAACACTAACTCCAGGAATCTGAATAACAGTTTGTTTTTATGTTCATTTTTAAATATATTTTCAAAACATGTCAAATGTTTTTTAGTTTTTTTGGGTGCATTGCTCCTGGCCGTTTATAACTACTGCACATAAACTAGCTTTTTAAGGTGATAGTTGTGTATATATGACAATTACATTTGATTTCATGTTGATGCTTAGGTCATATTTTAGATGGTTGAATCTTTTATACCGGGGTTTTGGTTGGTGGGAAGAAAATTTGAAAACTTCGGTCTTGCTGTTTGTAAACAGTTATGTACAAATCTACTTTCTGACCTCTGAAGTAACTTTACTACAAGTGTCAGACACACTACTTATGCTGAATTTCTCCAATAGCCCTCTACTACTGCAGAGCAGTATTTGATTTTTAACCAATGTTTCACAGCTCCTTTTGTCCATCGTACAATACCTCCTCAGTGTGCAAATTGTATTCATTGTTTCCTTCAAGCCTTCTAACGTTGTCACAAGTCACTGTCTACATTTTGTTATGTTTTCAGGAAATCGGTGCACTTTTGTCTTGTAGCTGGAAGCATTTATTAACAGGTACTGTTTGTTTATAGTATTTCCCATGTTATTTATATTTGTACGCTGTGAGTCCCTATGAAAGCCTGAAAGGCCACATGTGCACTACTACTGACCTCACAACATTAAAACCAAATTATTCTCAGAATCATTTCTGGTCATGGCCTCTAGTGTTTATTTAAGATCACACCACTGAAAACGAGAATGTTTATACAAATCATGCCAACCAGTTGCTGTACTTTTCTTTGGGAGAAGAAATGTTGAAACAAAATGCTACTGAAGTGTCTCAATGCTGTCTCACAGATGTGTTTGACCAATACTTTTTTATTTTACTCACTGCACGGTATTGTCTATAAGGTATACGTCTGACAAGATGTTTGTAAGAACAAATAGACTGCACTTAATAATGTTGCTTTTTGGCTGGAAAGACTTGGGAGCTCTACTGTTATGTGTCAACCATGTTTATACATTAAAGGGGTATGTTTGTCAAATCTGCCATACAATGTATACAATGCGTAGTGTATTAAAGGTTTTTATACCTTGCTCCAAGTATCCCTATGGAGTCTAAGAAATTAGGTATTATTCAACAGGTTGTCATAACTCCCAAGTCTCTGTCCATTCATGGCAAGAAGATAACTACATCTGTGTAAAATCCCCTTCAGGACTTCAGTCATGTAACTTCTAATATAGAGTAATAAATGCAGTTGTTTTCCTATGTGGTGTCTATATGTTTTACTTTCTTCCATATTTTATGAAGTGAACTACTTATGTAGTTGTAGTCACCACTTGTGGTGATTAACTCATAGATAATTATCATGAGACTTTGCAGCTCCCCTCTGCTAGACAGAGCGTTTGATCCTCCTTAAGCTCATTTGTTGACCTGGCCCTCAACAATACTGTTTTGGTTCACTGTCACCACTTTCATAATGTTGTTTTTAGCCACCACCGGCAGCAGTTTAAGGAGAAAATGCTCTAAAAACTCACTTTGCACTAACAGAAACGGCAGACAAAGTTACTAGCTAGCTGGCGAATACAGTGGAGCATACAGCATCTGCAAGTGGGATGTTTCTGGAGTTGACAGAGACCAAAAAGAGAGCGAATATTGGACTTGCATTCATCTTATGGAAACAAACAACACTTCAAATGAATCCTAATGTTGCTCTGTACATGTTGGATGTGTTAACACACATCTGTTACATGTCAGTGTTGTTTACAGCTTGTCTCTGCTACGGCCAGATGGCCAAAAATAATCTGTTAATGCAGGTTTAATGAGTTGCTAAAGTTAATGTTGCAGTGTAAATCACTACCCAGTTACACCTTTAGACAAAAGTTCAATGTGTTGTACAAGAGGTATGCATTTAAGAATAATGCACTTCAAAACAAACTCAAAGAACCTTTATTGCTCATCGTTTAAATTATATTAATGCAGATTAGTACAAAAACTGTGCATTTACATACAGTTGTACACATTCAATTTCATAAATACCAAAACAGGAAATATGACATGTAAATGCTGGCTTTTAGTGATTTTGATAAAGTTCCCTAAACACAATGAATGGAAAACAGTTGATAAACCTGCCAGACTTTTGACATGTCTTCACTGACTATAACTGACATCAACATAACACACCAAAACGATTTAAATCATTAATTGTTAACTTGACCATTACTTTTTACGTGAACTGTGAATTTGTTTTTGATTTTGCAGCATTGAAGCAAAAACCAAATCCCTTTTGACGCTAACAATGCCAAAAACCCAAAATGTGGGTAAAAAACAGGCAGAGAAAAGTTTCTCTAAGTTTAATGTACAATCTATTAAACATTTTGTTATACAGGAGAACGCAGACAAAATAGCAAAACAAAAAATCCATAAATATCCAGAGCTTGTGCATTTAAACAGAATACAGCACAATGAATGGTCGTCTCTAAACAGCAGATTCCTCCGTGCTGTTGTAGACTTCAACAATGAGGTTGTCATGGAAGTCTAAAGTGCTCTTCCGGGTTTGCTACTTTGCGGTCTGGCTACACAACAGATTAAAACTTGAGCCCTTGGATTCTTCACACACTGGTAGCTCTCGCATCTTCATTTCATTGTTGACAAATTTACATAACTCAACTGTTACTGTCAAATTTCTGTCAATTGAAACTAGTTTAAAATGTACCTAGATCAATTTTTTTAACAGTTCCTGAAGCTGAACTCTTTGTTAATTTTACACCTGGGAAATCATTTTTCAAACATATCTGCCCAGGTCTAGTGTTTGAGTGATAAACTATGCTACATCTTTTTTTTTTCCCCACACAAAGGTAGCTTGTAGTTTTTGTATGTATATACTGTATGTGCTGTATGAATGGCACATACATACAGATAAATACTGCAAATTAACCCTCCACCTGCATTTCAATAATCAAACTAGCTGAATGGTGATCTGATAACATTATACTACTTACAAGTACAAAGAACAGGGCTCAGTCAAATGTCATTCATTACGTGCCAGAACAACACACACCCGAATGTTGATCTGACAAAGTCAAACAGTATTTCATTGGTTTTATGTGCATCTAGATTTCAGCCTTATTATAGAAATTAAATACTGGCAACAAAATGCAATACAGCTAAATCAGTTTTCCTTTAGCTGGTAACGGATTACTTAATTTATATAATCGGGAATACATTTGTAATCAAAGTCATAATTAATGGTCCTCTACTACGTAGATTAGCACCACAGAGGTGGGAATGACGTCTGGTCATCCTGAGAGGCTACGGTTCCTCTTCAGAGTTTTCTTGTGCTTTAACATCTCGCTTGTGGCTTGGAATTTGGCTCGATTTACGGGAGCTTCTGTATGTCCTGTCCTAATATAACTTTATACGGCTGGGTTGCTAAAACTTGATATTTATGCAGAGAGGGAGACGTCTTTGTGTGTGAATACAGGAAAGCTGGTTCCAGGGATATATGATACTTCAATATAAGTCATAATGTTCTCTTTCTCCTTTTGCTCTGACATCCTCTTAAAACTGTGTAGCCTTTCCTGCTTTGAGGTGCTTCTTCAAGCTGTGGGCAGAAAAATCAAATCCGTCACTTAAAAGTTTCCCATGAACATATTTAGAAGATGTGTGAATACAGTACTTCCTATATGTGTAAGCTCAAAATATCTGTGCTTACCCTCTTCTCCATCAGTAAGCACTAGTGCCTGGAGTATATCTGAGAGGGAGACGATTCCCTTCACGACATCCTGCTCGTCCACCACCACAAGCCTGTGCACCTGAGGGACACACAGGAGGACCATCAGTGTTACTTTTAGCTCTGCAAAATAGTTTTTCTACCAGAAGAATGTGTACAGAAATCCATGATACTGTAACTATACACACCCACACACACACACACACACACACACACACACACACACACAGAGCATCACTGACTTCTTGATTTCATTAAGTTACCAGCGCAAAATTGTCAAAAAGCTGCTTGTGGCCAAAACGGCCACTACAGATGGCTACTTGGGAGACACAATGACATCCGATTCTCACCTCGGCCTCCACCAGTCTATTTATGATGGCCTCCAGGGTCTCGTGCCTGTTGCAGGTCAGCACACCTTCAAAGTACTGAGAGCGGTGCTGCAAGGCTTTCGTTACTGTCACATCCAGGTTGTTGTACGTCTTCTCTGCTGCAAGGTTCTGTATAAACACGGGCATTCAGATTACAAATGTTTTCTTGCTTGCAAAAAAAAAAAAAAGTTTTTATTCCTTTTTTTGTTTGTTTTTATAATGTAATTTCATTGTTTATTAATTATATATTTTTTATTGTTTATGTGAATTTGTGCTCTGGCAACATTGCAACCTAAACAACCTAAACATTCATGGCAATCGGCCTGAGAGAAAGAGAGAGAGAAATCTTACATCTCATCTCATCTCATGGAAACAAGTTTCTGCCACTAAATATCAGTTTCCTCCTCACTAGAGGATGAGGTAACAACTATCACAATAGAAAGTAAACTCAATCGCGCGTGTCTTTATTCCAAGGCAGCGGAGTCGCAGACATCAGCCCAAGGATCGGCACGTGACGTCACCATCACACGGAAGCGCTTCCGCCGGCTGCACATACAGGTCCGTGTGCGGGGGTGGCGTTACTTGTGCTGCGTTATTACTGATCCTTCAGAAATGCTTGGGGAAATGTAGCGTGGGTGTGCACTACTTGGTCAATAAAGGAGCTTTGATTTGATTTGATTAGATTCGGAAAACAGCGACGCTACCAAGGAGTTAGTGAGAAATGTAGTTAAACTAGTAACGTTACTGCCCAACACTGCTCGTATGAAGGGCATGTTGAAGCAAGCTCGGTGGCAGTAGAGCGCTGAGGCGATGACTGCACAGGTGTCTGTCGTGCCGAAAAGTGATGTTTGGTAGGCCTATGTGTAATATCTTTGTTTACATTTGGAAAACGGGCTGTAGCCTAATTAACATGACTTACTACCAACTTAGATATAAAATGAAGACAATTTTGCAATTATCCTTATGACTACATTATTTTACTTGCTGTGTAGGCCTACCAACCAATCCACTCTTTCTTGACTGAAAGGTTATTTCTGCCCTGAAATTAGTTGATTTCATTCAGAAGAATTTGAAGAATATTTGACAGATTATAGCTCATCTAGTACTTTTTACCTCTTCAAATACCTTTAAATGGCCAATACAACCCATAAAATGCAGTAGGCTATTTCACTTGCCAGAAAGTGATTGAAGAGACTGGGCAATACAGCTCCAGCAGACGGCAATCACTTTTCGGCAGACGATCACTTTTCGGCACGACACCTGTCCTGTCTTGTTGAAGTCAAAGACGGAGCAACTTTCTGCTCTTAAGTTTATTCCATGAACAGTCACGGGCTTCACCAGGATTGTCTTGTCGCCACTCTTGGCAGCAATTATCTTACGTCGCAAATATTGCATTGCACGCTGTTGCATCAAGCCTGGTGCAATGTAGCCACACTTTTGACTTTTAAAACCACGTCTCTGTGCGTAATCGGCGTGAACTAGTGTTTACATCACCACAGCCAATTACAATCACGTTTACATTTGAGCACCTCAAGCATGCTGCATGCTTATTGGCTCATTAACGTTAACAAGGTATCGAAATTTGGTACCGAAAGACAAGACGTGTTTTGATACTCGGATAGTATTGAGGCAATTCGGTCGGTGCCTAAGAAGTATTTAACTTGATACCCAGCCCTACTCAGGTAAGGCAGGTAATGTGGATACATCCTCTATCACACTACATACTAAAATTGATATACGGTATATGGTAATACAATTCAGAGAGATGTATATAAATTAAGACTTAAAGAGATATGTAGATTAAAAAAATCACATGAGAATATCTGCTTTGGCTAATTCACTGAATTGAATACCTAACAAGTTGTGCTAATCTATCACATTAGAACAAAATTACTGTATGTTAAAAAAATTGCCTGAAAGCAGTCCTGCACAATGATTTGCAACACTGCGCCACCCATACTAATATTTCAGCTGCAATGATACAACAATCAATTTATCCATCAACAGAAAATAAAATCTCAACTTTTCAGTTTGGTTCATGTTTTTTTCTTTTTCTCATTTTTCAAGCAAACATTTGCTCATTAAAGCTTCTCAAATGTGATAATTTGAGGTTTTTCTTTGTCACATCTGATTGTAAACTAAACATTTTTGGACTGTATGTGTCCTCTTGGTTATAGGGGGCACCTTAAAAGTTTTTTTTAGTTGTAACCCTACTCTTTCCTCATAAGCACAAAAAAATCCAGTGTGGAGACACTGACAGACAACAACTTACAATAACATCAAATTTTGAGTATATGTCCACAACTCGACCTGCAAGAGAGAGGCGGCATAATCAGCACACAAAAAAACTAAATTCAAGAGGTCTCTTGTCATCAATGCAGAATCAACAAGGATGTCATTTCAACCAGCCAACATACCTTTGTCGTCCACAACAGGGAGCGCTGACACTCGCTGCTCAACAAAAATACCAAGCGCCGTGTACAGTGGTGTGTCTGTGCGGACCACTGCTATGTTCTGGAATGTCCCGATGTTCAGTTCCTCTAAGGTTTGTCTCAAGAACGAGGGTTTTGGCATCTCTGAGATCTGAAAACAATGACAAGAGATTGTGCACATGTGATTAACACGGTAGGGCAATGGATGTCTTTGTTAAACAGTTTCAGACTAAACTGTTTCCTTAACTTAAGCTAAAAGTCTTTACACTGTACTTAACATCCGCTGTGTTGCTGTCAGACTCAAACCATGAAAAAACATTTGCAGATAATTTAGTGATGAAAGATGTCAAAAAGGGGGCTTACAAAAAGCTTCAGGAACTTGAGGATCCTCTTGTGTGTGAGAATATAGAGCGTGTTTCCAGTCAGAGGGTCAATTACAGGCAATCTGTGGATCTTGTTCTTCAGCAGAGATGATACGGCATCATACAAACTGTGACGCAGAGAAGTTAAGAGACAGTTTAATCAAGTTATTTTGGACAAAGCATATTATGAAACAAGAAAGCTGAGTAAAAATTTAAACAATTTGCAAGTTAAGTGAAGCACTAATGCAATAAATTTTGTGGGTACAAAAAAAACTCCCAGCAAATTTATTTTGACAACATATAAATATGTTTCTATCAATCACGAAATTGTAGAAAAGCTGCTTGTATCCATCCAGCTTGTATCCACAGCGGTTTGATGTCTAGCTCTACTTACAGAGACTCTGGTCAAAAGAATAAAGCACAGAAAAGCGTTTCAGATGGCATTCCTGAAATGTTAATACATATTTGTACTTCCTCAGTGACATCTGTTGGGAATAGGCCAACTTGTCCTGCCACAGGCTAAACCATAAGATGCCCCCAAGTTGTATGTCCCAGCATTCAACATCTGGATATTCATTCAAAGTGACATTTAACACCAACAACACAATGCAATGCCTGGAAGTAGTACTGACAAGACAAGCAATCATAAAAATAAAAAAAAACTCACCTTGCATTGGGAGATATGCAAACCAAGGGTTTGAAAGAGTCCTGAAGGTACAGCTCTGTTATAATAAACAAGAACAAACAATGTAGTTTAAGATACTTCTAGATCACCAGAGTAAATTACATTAAATACTTAGCATATTCATTACATATTCTCACCTCTCCATGTTTCAATTTTGTGTTCTTCCAACTCATATATCTGAACCTGAACGATTACATAGAGAAGAAACGGTTTAAAAGGAAGCTCTTTATACAAAGGGCAAAAGAGCAAGGGCACATTGAGCAACGTATTAGTTAAAACACTACCTATGACAAAATAATCCTGCAGTTCGGTTGTGAGATTAAATATGTTACATCTAATCTTACAATTCAAGAACTGTAATCATTTGGTGTCCACCATCTTACCAGGGGAGATTTGTAGTAGCGATGAAGGATGTTAATAAAGTCTGTGATGGTTAGCATACCTGTGGAGATGCACGTGGAGCATCAAGTCAGTTCTTTAATTAATTTTGTCTTACAAAAACTTACAAAAAACAAGTAATTTTAAATTACCCTTACCAACAAAGCACTGCCTCTTGCTGTCCCACAGAGGCGCTGCTCTTACCCCATTAGAAACTAGAGCAAAAAAGGCCTTCTTGACCTGTAAAATCATACCAAATGTTTCATTGTAAATTAGCTAATTAAAGATAAACTTATTTTGATTTAAAGCTTTTATTTTACCTGAAGTGATGTATCAAAAACAACCAATTTGGAGCTGGTAGGTACAAGGTCATAACACCGGTGGGACTTCATAAACCTGGTGTATACATTGTGCTCTGGGTCTGGAGGAATGAGAGAGAGCGAGACTATTGAGGACACTGTTTTGCGGTTTTTAAAAGACAGTTTCTCAGTTTGGTTTCATGATTAGTCTTTTACCATCTATGACTGGGCCATCTATGACTGGGTCCTTTTTGGCCTCAAGATCATCAATAGGTACTGGCATCTGAAAAAAAAAAAGACAAAGATCAATCAATTTGTGGAGATGACCTTGACCAAAACAAGTAAATGTTTGTTTTACAAGTATCTGCATGACATGGCTAAATAATTCCCATGCCATCAGGGTTATGGACAGAAGCACTGACTGGCCCACCAAGGATGCTACAAGTATAATGGTTTAAAATGTTCAGGATTAGCGGTTAGGTATAACCCTTGACATGGTTAAGTTCATGTATGATATTGTTATAATGATAACTGGTATATTTCGTGTTAAGAATGTGTTAGCTATGCATGCATGCTGAAGGCGGATTTAATATTATATTTGTGTCGTGGGTAGCAAATGTGTGTTCTTCAAGGTGTCAGATGCACTGCATTATTACCAAGGACTGGCATTTATTACATACAAAACACGCTCTGCTTCGTTTATCATGACTTCAATTACGGATGTAGCTAACGTTAACTGTAACTAACTGTTATATACAGTAATATTGTAGTCAGCTAGTCAACATTAAACACCACAGAGCTTTAACTCAGCTAAACACCTTAAGTGTTGACTTGAGTAAACGTTGTAAAAAATAAATAATAATAATAATAATAATAATGTTATAGTTGTAATCTGCTGTTGCAAATGATTAATTTGACACTGACTTATTATTGCTACAATTGAACAAAGCCTGTTTGGCAAACTGACAGCTGTTAAGGTTATGGACAAACTGAATAACTACTCCTGAAAACCACAAGTTAACAGTAACGTTAGCGAAGCATTAGCATTAAGCTAGCAGTAGCGTCACAGTGTGTTGACTTTAAGGAGCCAGTCGAGGTGACTTTACATTTCATCTCTTGCTTTTAGTTACACTAGTTACCCTTTTGAGACAATATTATTAGTGGTGGGACACTGGTAGTGGGGCTGAAACCATCGTCGCATTCGTCAAATATTCCCTCATGACGGTTCGTTAACTTCCGTTATTAACAAACAAGTGAGCTTGTCTCCTAACGTTACTCTGCCCAGAGTTAGCTGGTTAGCTGCTACCGTCAATCCAAACTAATTCAACTTAGCCATGTGGAGGGGTTTTGTTAGAAAGCTATGGTCTATACAAGCTAAAGTTAGCTCGATGACTTACACACTCCATATTCCATTCGCAGTATCACCTTCCTGTAGCGGTTCTGCAGGATCTTCCGCTCCAACTCCTAATGAGCCGCATAATGGCTATGCAACCGTTATCGTAATACATGTAATGTTACCGCAACACAATATCAGCTCTGAAGCAGACCGTAAGTGTTGAGCCTTCATAATACGGTCCGTGTATACAGTAATTTAAAGTGCAAGTGAAGTTACCGTATTGAAAGATGACCAGTTACTGTAGTACATCAACCTATGCACTGCTGTGCAGTAATATACTCTATTAGGCGCCCATGCTTTTTGCTACTTATAGCTACCCAAATAATGCAGCCAAAATCAGCAGAATGACACATCAAATGAGTAACAGATTTATTTATATACAAAACTGTTTACAGCAAGATTTCTGAATTAACATTGACCCGCGAGGGGGTATTGGTATTCAGGTGCACAACACCACCTGCGCCATGGTATCAAGTCAACAGAAGGAGAGAAAAAAAACTTTAAGAGCACCATGAGTCATGAAGGGAAGCAGATGAGGGAGTTTGAACTGTAAGGCACAAGACACAGCATCACCGCTTATCTTTAACCATCATCAATCACCCATCAATCAACTACATACTCAGCAAAGCACTTGATAAAAACTACCCATTTTACTACCAAACTACCCACTATAGGTACAACATGAGGATTTTGTCTGTGTGTGTGTGTGGTGGTGGTGGGGGGGTCCACATTGTGTCATGTCTTTGTAAAGTTACAAGATCTAAGATAAGCCATTAAGGATCTCAAGCATTTGACAGTGATCATGCAAGTACACAATATGAATTAAATGGACTGCATGCCATCTGGGCTTCAAGCCTGCATGAACAATCAAATCAAAACCATGAGCTCAAAAATTACTAAGCTAACTCTGTGGCCTTAAGCCAATTAAATAGTCTTATTCAATGTTAAAATAAAAAAAAATTAAAAACTGAAACTCAACAATGTTCATAATTATAACACACTTATAACCATGTACTCTACTTAGGATACTGAAGTTAGAGTAAACCTGCACCACCCATGATATAACCATAGTATTAAACCAATTTCTAAGATTCTATTTATAATGTAATAAAAAGGCCATAACTGGTGAATATCTATACTAAATTTCTGAGGGCTGTCCATAACATCTTTATTACAGTCAATAAGAAGAAATTAAACTGTTGAAACAATGGAAGAGGACTCATCTGCTTAGCCAAAGAAAACATGAGTTGTTACATATACAAATAGATTCCCTCCATTGTGAACAGTTCAAGAGTTCATTGGTAAAAGGTACCTGAAGAGGAGTTAATAAAAATTACAGTAAGTAGAGCTGTGAAACCCCAGTGAAATTTCTTCTTCTCATCCCTGGGAGTTCAAGGATATCCACCATTTGTGAGAAATACTGACATTTAAACACCACATTTAAAGCAATGTGTACTGTGACTCTCCATCACTGTCAAAGAAAGACCTGCTGAAATAATACCAGTCCTTTAAAAAGGTTATTAACAAGTCCTCACTGTACATACTCCAAGAGTTACGACACAATAACGAATGATGTCTCAAACATCTGATTTACAAGTAGTTATTACCATAATACGTTTATCAAAAAAATTGGGACCAATATGTTTGGCAATGTTTTGTTTTCTGAGCATTTAGTTGAACTCAAAGTAAATATTTTGCCCAGTCATAGATTGCATTTCAGTATTTTAAGAAAGTGTTCACTGACGGTGTTCCTTTGTCTAAAACAAAGATTAATCTTGCTCTTAGAAACTTCTCCCTGTGGTTACAAATAGTGGGATAGTTTATCAACTGTCTGAGCAGTTGCTTTGCTAGGTAAATCAATCTGTTATCACAGTGGAGCAGAAAAGTTCCACTGCAGTGTCTTGGTGGTGGCGAGGTCACGGTTGGCAAGCTGGTGAAGTTGTGCCTCCTGTCTTCAGCAAATGAGCTCATTGATGTCCTGGATACACTTTTTTACATCACAGCGCACTTCTTCTCCTCTGGGGGTGCATTTCCATCAGCTTTCTCCATCTCCAAAATGATCCGCTTGAAAACCTCCACAGCAGTCTGCATTGCAAGAATATGGTCATCATTGTGTGAATCTGTGTCAGACATAATGTGTGGACTGCACCGAGGAGATATCGATACCTCATTCTCCTTGGCTGAGGACTCCATGAATGCAGCACCCCAGGAATCAGCAAGTTTTTTCCCCTCCTCTGGCTTGATAACCCTGGAAAAATGAAATGGAAACTTCACTGAAAACAGAAATGTTTGAGTGGGTGGTGACAGAAAGGTTGACAGAGAGAGAATATGTGGTACTTTTCTTTAAGGATAAGGCAGGCAATTTTATATTTTTCCGTTGTCAAAAAATTAGAAGACTTCGGCCCCAAACCCATATGCTCCTACTAAAGATGTTCATCTTTAAAAAAAACCCAAAACAAAACAAAAAAAAAAACAACAGGCCACAAAAACACACATTTATTTTTTTCTTGAAAGCTCAATCATTTCAGAAGAAACAGATGGGCACTGTAACTTTTAGCAAATGTTAAATGGCAAGGCATTTGTCAGGGACTAGTTGTAGCCGCATATACGGTGCTTCAGTGACTATGAATGGCAACACGACATTGTGCAGTGCACATGACCATCATAGTGAAGAACATGTCAATTAGTGCAACAGCGTAACTCAGTGACATTTTTTTTTTTAGTTTTTGGACAACAATGGAGGTCTAATTCACAGAGGAATACACTATATCTGGCTTTGGCTATACAGTACTTATTTAATAGGATCAACTCATTGTTGGTTTTGCCATTTTCATTTGTTGACACTAAGAAAAATACAGAATATCCCCAGACTTACCCTTTTACTTCCAAAACAACAAATGCTTGCCATTTAAAATGTATTTAATGTTGAATTAAATTGAGTGTTATTGCATAGTTTAGGACCAAAAAGTCTAATAGCATTATCAGTGTTATTTTTATCTGACAGAAACATTTGCGGTTTATATTATTATAATAATCTTGATTACCTTTCCATGTGTAGATCTTTTTTGTTCCCTACAAGGACAGTTGGTACCCTAAAAAGACAATATCCTAGTTGAAAAAAGTCACTTGGAAAAACCACAAAAGACATTTTTAGAAGCATTGAATTTTATAAGATCAAACTAAACTTACTGAATCTTCCCAACCATGTCTAGAAGCTTGTCATGTAGGACCTGCACAACTTCAAAACTGAACAGAGACAGACATCAAAGTACATTTAAATACTGATCTTTATCAACTGATATGTTACTTAGTAATAACTTATTATACACTGTCAATCCAAAGAACCTAATTAGAGCTGCAACGACTTATCAATTATTAAATTAATCACTAACTATTTTGATCATCGTTTAAATAATTTTTTTACAAGAAAAAAAAAAGTCAAATTTCAAGATTCCAGCTACTTAAATGTGAATATTTTCTGGTTTCTTTAGTCCTCTGTGACAGTGAACTATTTGGGTTGAGGACAAAACAAGATATTTGAGGACTTCATATTAGGCTTGGGTTGTATATAACAGTGGGTTTAACCATTACAAATCTTTGTGGTTTAGGAATAATGGATTATGAACGGTGAAGTCTGTATATGTTCAAACACAATACTAACATCAATTGTAAGACACATATAGTGTTGTCTACCTCAGGAGTTTTCAAAGTCTGAGACCGCGGGCCTCCCCTCAGACAAAGCTTGGGAAACGGCGCCCACATCTTTAGTTTACTTGGTAAGTTTCGCTCAATTCCTGGATGCCTATGGGATCATAATTATATTATTTGATCTCACAGACACTCAACATTTGAACCAAAATAGCCTAATATTGCTGTTTGACATAACTTCTGACTACATCAAATAGTTTTAAAAAAGGTCTGTCCTAAGGCCTTTCTGGCTCTGATGGAGGGAAAACAGTTCCCAAAAACTACTGTATCTCTCAACTCTCACACATGTAGGCTATTGTATGTGATCTCCTTTTGATAACTAATGCAATAAGTAATGTAATATTGTTTCACTTCCATTCACAGAGCTTCCCCTGAAACTGTTTGGAGCCCCACTAGGGAGGCCCGCATCACACTTTGAAAACCCCTGGTCTACCTCATATCGTGCCTGAAGACTTGACAGTGTATGCCTCATAATTCAAACATAAGAAAACACTCACCTTTTCATGGAAGTCACTGAATAGACAAGGACATACCCATGGATGTCCATTGAGTGGGATTGGTGAAAAATTGAGTACTCATCCTACAGACAGAGGAGAGGTTTTATAATCTCATAGGATATGACTGCTACCAAACACAAAACACATTTTTAAAAAGAATCAGAAACAAGACTTAAGCGTCAAAAAAAAAAAACTGGCACACAACTTGTCTGACAGCCGAGTATATCATAAAATCAGAAATGCCTAAAGTTAAATAATTGGTTTTTAACAGATCAGAATATTTAAAACATAGAGTTTAGTGCTCGTGTCAGATATAGTGGTACATGAACAACTTACTTGTCCAGCTGTATCAACCAGCTGAAGATTGAAGTCTTGACCATTCATGCTGACCATTTTGTTAAAGGCTAGGGAGAGGGATGAACTAGTTTTACAAAACATTTCTTTACATTAAGCCAATTCCATTGTGACTTTCTTTGCTGCAATATCTTACAAACAATACAAAGACACCTACTGTTTTCGATGGTGGGGTCATAGGAGTCGACAAACTGTCCTTCCACAAACTGTATTGTAAGAGATGACTTCCCTGAGCAGGGCAAAGAAACACGGCATGTTTGTTTTACTGCCATTTTAAAACATCTCTTTCTTTCTACTCTTTCTTTACAACAAAAACCTATATTACAATACATACATGCGACACACATAAAACCTGTGTCAGCATTATGGCTTAGTGATGGTTTTAACCCTTTACAGAATAACCTATACAGGACAAAAATATTTATATTATCAGTTACAAGTGTTACACCAAATTCTGTGAGCCATTAAATTATATGACCTGATCAGAAATTTCAGCTACATTGCCATGGTAAATGTTTTTATAATACAAAATAAAATACTTTATTTTGATAGCTATAACCAAAGATGGTGCCTCTGTGGTGTTTAGACCACACACTTGACCTGTCAGACTCTGGTAGTAGAGGATCAATTAACAGACATATATTGACAGGTGAAGTGATGGTGCCCTTCTTTCTGATCAACACTACAGTTTCTGCTGCCACAGTTATCAGAAATTGTGATCCGATGTGTATCAGTGGGGTTATTGTCTTCTTCACAACTATTAAGATGTTACATTATCTAAATGCTATGATGGCACCATTTTTGATAATTGCTGCTATCAGAATTATGTGATAAAATATGACAAAAACGTTTGCAGTGGTAATACAGCTTAAAGTTTTTAATATAGGGCTGAACAATTAATCAAAACTGTATCAAAATTGCAATATGGCCTACAGCAAGGTGGTGCATTATTTGTTAAAGGTTATTTGTGTGTCAAAAAAACATTTTAAATTAAATATTGTCCTGCTGCAGAGACGTCCTGGCCTACACATCATAGTCTACAGACTTAGGAAAACATTTGGTGTACGTTTGGTGCAGATCATTGCAAAAATCACACCATGACTAATTTTAATATGTTTTTCAATGAAAATTAGAATAATTGTGTAAAAACGACCATTCCCTCCAATTTCGCAATTGCAATATCAGTCAAATTAATCGCAATAAGATATTATTTCAAAATCCTTCAGCGCTGTAGCTGAAAGACCAAACTGGACCTCAGAACCTGATTTGTCATATAATTTGATGTAGAACCGGCCACACAGACATGTTATTATAAATAAATATGACTGGTGTGAACTTGGTAGGAGGTAGAATATTGTTCCAGGCTGAGTTCCTTAAATTGTGCACAGTAACTGTTACATACTTTGTGTGTGTGCCACGCTAGCCTAAAGTTTCGCCACTCACCACTTGGCTCGGTACCAGGATCTCACCGGCTAACTGTTTACACAGAACACGTTACAACTACAACAGACGGCTACAGACCTAAAGCAAGCTGTTGTTTTTAATGTAGTTTAGTAACCAACTGCTCAGCAAACGCATGTGAACAAAAAGAAACATGGACAAAGGTAATCTAGCGTTGCTGTTCAGTCGGAAGGGAAAACAAAGCCAGGACATTAGCCTGTTAGCCAGCTAGCTCAATAACATTAGCTCGTGTGCTTTACTCACCTACAGACCTGTAACCTATAACAGCAATCTTTCGATGTTTTGGTTGAGGCATTGTAGTGAAAACGGTGTTCAACTGGATTCTGATAATGTAGTACGCCACCTAGTTTTACTATCTAAACAAACTTTTATCGCCACATTCGTCTCACATCACGTGACAACAACAAACTTTTCGGAGCCGCCGCCGCTCGAGCTCTCTCCTGGGCCTCGAATTGGAAGTTCAGAGTTTAAGTACAACTTGTACTTTTCCCAAAATGTGTCTCTTTCTGTATCTGCTAAAGTAATCGATATCGATCGATAGTTTGAAATGATGAAATTGTCGTTTTAACGGAAACTGGAAACGGTGAAAACGCTTGTTCAACGCGATTACAGTTTGCAAGTCAAAGTGACGGAAACTGTCATTGTGTAAGCACACCGTCGTAAAACCGGAGAACACGTCGGAGCGGCGTGGACCTACAATCTGGCCAATTTGTACAGTAGAGGTCACTCTTTGTGCGTCCCAGCTCCCAGCGGACTCACAGTGAAAATGTCCTTAATGTCAACAGGTGTGGGTTCCTTTGTTTCAGTATATATATGTATATGTCAGAGGTTTTCAGACCTATTAACATTTATTAAAAGGATAAGTTGCTTGAGAGTTCATCTCAAGCAACTTATCCATATATACAGAGAATACAGTTCAAACAATACAGTAAATGTACACATACACATACATAGTGTTGGGAAAGTTACTTTGGAAATGTAATAGGTTACCGATTACAAGTTACCCTATTTAAAATGTAATAGTTGTGTAACTATTTCAATTGCTTTATTAATGTATGTAACGTATTACATTTAATTATATCTTTTTTATTACTTTTCTAAATTTCTAATGAATGTTTTCAAGTGTTAACCATTTTCAAAAGACAGCTTGAGAGGCACTTTTTTGGCAGACTGGTGGAGCTGCAAATTTATACATAAAAACCAATCAAAAGCATCAGAATAGCATCAAGCTTTACTAAACAGCTGGAAATGGCAAAAAAGACATTGTGCACATGAAAAACATATAGCCTAGCTTTTTACAGAAAATATTCAGATGTAACTCCCAATGTCCCCAAAAAACCAAGGACCACTGGACTAAACGACTACAGACCCGTCGCCCTGACATCTGTGGTTATGAAGTCCTTTGAGCGCCTTGTGTTGTCCCACCTGAAATCCATCACAGACCCACTCCTGGACCCCCTGCAGTTCGCCTACAGAGCCAACAGGTCTGAAGATGATGCAGTAAACATGGCCCTTCATTACATCCTCCAGCGCCTGGACTCCCCAGGAACCTATGCCAGGATCCTGTTTGTGGACACGCACACACTCATACACTCTCCTGACCCCACACTTTACAACATGGCTCAACTGTGCTTTATGCTCATGTTGCCAACTTTTGCACATACTTGTCAACATTGTATTATAGTATTATTGTATCTTTTTATATTTTTTGTATGCTTGTGTATGTTCTATATGTTCTCCTTACTTTTTATATATTTATATTACTGTTTATGTTATGTGTACTGTAAGCACCAATTCATACCAAAGCAAATTCCTCGTATGTGAAAATGTACCTGGCAATAAACCTGATTCTGATTCTGATTCTGATGAACATTTTCACAAGTAACTTTAATTACACATTTTACCCAGTAACTGTAGCAGATTACAGTTACATTTATGTTGTAATTTAATTAGGTGACTAAATTACATGTAACTAGTTATTCCCCAACACTGCCCAAACAAAGCTATATGTATGCACGTACATATTGGAGATAGCCTACATTATTTATTTATATATCTCAAGTATAATTACAAACAAGAGCAGGTTGTTTGAAGATAGGTAAAAACAGATGCCTTAAGGACATAAAAGGAAGTAAAATATCTATGTGAACTGGACAGGTTGTTTCAATCAGATGTAGATTTAATTTTTTTCCTTATAAATTTTAGGAACAAAGAAAAAAGGATCCACAGTGTGCCTAGACTATATGACATCCTATATGGAATTAAACTTTGTTTTAAGTAATATGAAAAGTTAAAGAAAATGCATTAAAAAATCTTCTAGGTTTAGGTAAGGACACCTCAAAACAAATCTACATCATCAACTATTGTAAACTATATTAAGAGGATGAACATTTGTTTCTGAGGTATTCTGCATAATCTTGTATTGGTAATATCAACTGTGAAATCCTTTTTTTCCTAACCTGTAGGGTGAAAAAGCTGATAGAACTATACAATCTCAGGCTGTCATTTATTTACTTTGTCACTGAGTCAATTTGGGGTTTAAAAGAAAGTTGAGAATCACGCCAGTGACCCAAATATTTAAATTCGTACTGTTTCTCGAGTGGTCAATTCATATTGACCAATTACTGGTTAAAAGCAAAAAATAGATTTAGTGCCAAACAACTATCTATAAGACTTCTTCTTATTCAGTAGAGGTTTGTTAAAAGAAAACCATTTTTGAGCAGCATCAGAATTATGAAATAAATAGTAGCCTATATAGCTTAGACTAAATACTAATGGTTTTATCCCCACTCTAAACTTCACCTGATCCTCCGAGTCTGACCCTTCATACTTTACCTTAATAACTGAACACAATATAGCTCTTTCTTGGAACATATATGGCTACATTGAATGTGGTGGACATGTTTCTTAAAAAGGCAACAGTGAGCATACATTTATTCTAACACTTGTATTGTTCTGAGATTTGTGATGGAACTTCAATACTTTTTGAGGATACAGATTAAAAGTAGCCTATTAAAATTTGTTCTTTGATTAGATATTGCCTGACGTAACTAATAAGTTTGCAAAGTTTGTTGGAAGGAGTTTGTTAAAAAATTATTAATTTCTGTGGTTTGTGGTTTCAAAAAATATACAATTTTGGTTTATTTTACATTTGGTACTGAAACTCTGGTATTGTATTGGATACCAAGCTAGGAAACTTTTAACTGAACACAGTCAGGTATTCTGAAGACAAAACAAAGTCACAGAAACAATTGTTCTTTACACACTCTGGATGGGACAGGTAAGGATGGCTGTTGAGTTCCTCTTGGTGTTATGCAAAGACTGTTTTGGCACCTCCTGGATCCCAGCATACTGCATACTAAAAGGCAACACGTTTCCCCCCTTTTGAGACAATGATGTGCACTGTTCAGAGTTCAGGCAGTGAAGCATCACAAAAATAAGGTGTGGTTCAATATAAACTTAGTCAACAAGTTGGAGACCTGCAGAATAACTTATTAAGTGTAAGGAGACAAATGCACAAATCTTAAATCAAAACTACAGCTACTAAATCTATTGTCAGTAATGTTTTACGTGCTGAATAAATTAACAAATGTTGATGTTAATTGACAGTTTTGTATGCAGATTCCAGTGTAGACCTGCTAACTGCTGGTGGTGTTTGACAGCAGTATAGACTATGGACACATTTAGGATGTAACCGGAAACAGTTTGGAGGTGGAGGTAAATGCTGCCGGGAGATGCTGCCGTCATAAACAGGCAGATGAAAATTCAGAAACACCTCACTGAAACGGCCCTGACAGGGACAGGTAATGCAGCTGTTACTGCGAGAACAGGACAACTTTAAAAGTACTCTTATAGTTGAATACCCCCACCGTGTTGTGTTGTAAAAGTCCTATGCGAGGCTTCAGGGAGCGAAAGCTAACTAGCGAGCTAACCACTAGCTGGCTAGCGATATCATTTGGGAGGCGGTGGGTACCATAGCAACCGTTTAGGAAACATTGATCGCTAGCTAGCTAATGTAGTTCATGCTAACGTTGGTTTGTTATGCTAGCGTTAAACAAGACGACATAGAGACTTAAATGCTCAATTTAGCGTTATTCAGCCAAGTAATGTCACAAGTCAGCGGTATCTACCTCGCGTCATCGCCTATATTAATGAGCTGTAACTTTGCTCCATGCTCTTTAGTAAGCTGCCGAGAATGAAAAATGATCGTAACGTTAGTGTTGAGTTTAGCTAACGGTAATTTCCATCACATGCAGTTAGCCAACGTTAGCCACCAAGGCCGACCCGTAAACTTGGGTTAACGTTACACCAACGCCACCGTTATGTAAAAGTAAAAGCTATTTGTATTACAGACTAGTTTGTCTCAGATGAGCTTGTCGTTATATTAGTTTAACGTTATCTTACTTTACCAATGTTGTCATGGGTCAACCTAATTGTAACTCAATCAGCTGATCTGTGGCTGCTAAGCTTAGAGTTGGCGCTAAATTAGCAGCTAGTTAACTTATTCTGATACGAATAATCAGCCTACATCAGCTAATCTTCAAGACATGTATTGTTAGCGCTAGGAGCTAATGTTACAGTTAAATACTGGTGCAGTTCAGAATGTATTGTCTTTGTGATCGGTAGATATCGGACATTCACGCTAGCGTTTAGTGTATTTGTTATTTTTTAGTTATTGAAAGTGTCTGATAAGTGATCATAAGTGAATTAGGTCTTATGTAATACCAATTATGTAATACCAATTTCATTGACGTGCATCCGGGGTTTTCAAATCAAAATGTGATGTCAAATTGGACCTCTGCCTAACTTCTGTATGATTTCCTGTTATATTAATGAGGGGTTGAATTGTAGAGGTTGCATGTCACACGGTTGAGTGAGTGGATGTGTGAGATAATTCGGTTTGATCCCGACCTCGTCATAACTGTCATTTCAGTATTTAGCTTGAACTAGTATGGATGTTGATGACTGCAATGGCCGGTCTTACATATCAGGTAGGGTAGATTTATTTCATCACAGATTAACTTTCCTTCAGATGTTGGCATGTTGTTCAAATGACATATCTTGCTTTTGTGTCCTTTTTTGGTCGCAGCTAGTGGAGACTCTTCAATGGAAAGAGATTTTTCTGGGGCCCTTGGAGGTCCAACAGTGAGCACCCCAAACAGCAAGGAGACCTCTCCTAGTCGCTCCCTCAGTGGTTAGTGAGAAAACAAGTGTGAATCCCACAAAACGGACTGTATGATGGATAATCAAATCCCAAAAACCTAATTATTTCATAAGCCAGTTTATTACTTCCAGATGATATAATAGGACATATCACAGTAATATATAATCTGTGATCTGTCGCATGTTTCCAAATGTTGTGTAAAGGTACATTATCTAATTGAAAGCCTTCTTTATGTTTGCTCTTGTGCCTTTATAGCCAACTCCATTAAAGTGGAGCTGTACAGCGATGAAGACCCAGGTCGCAGTACTGAAGATGAAAGAGGGGAGCGAGTAGAGGAAGGAGGTCCAGAGCAGGGATCTGAGGCTGTTGGAGACTACAGGGAGACCACCAATCCTGAAACCATACCAACTGGAGCCACCAGAATGCCAAACGGAAAGCTCAAGTGTGACATCTGTGGAATGATCTGCATTGGGCCTAATGTTCTCATGGTGCATAAACGCAGCCATACAGGTGACTGCCAGTCTTGGGTTTGGCATATAATCGGACATTATGATAATGTCTCATACATCTTTATCTGCACCCATTTGTTGTATGCCATTGTTTACTTAAAAATATTGTTTAGTAATCAAGACTGAATGGCAGAAATAAGATAATCTGATGATGGATACTATTTTTGAATGCCCCGGTGTACTTGCAGTTGAATCTGCAGATGAATCTGGGTGTAAGAACATCTTCGTATTCTTATCCTAAACCTCTCTTATTTTTTTTTCTGTGAGGCTTGTTAGTCCGTGTTTCAAGTCAAATTCACCAAAACCTCTCTACTAAACTAACTTAAATCGCTCAGCCTGATGAACGACACCAGTTCATGAAGAGGTGTGAATTCATGAGATTTCATGATAAGCATAATTGACACCCCCTGACATTATAAGGCTACCTCTTCTGCTACATTTGTGGGTAGAGTGAGAAGAAGACTTTCACACTGCAGAGCCTCAAGCCCTGCAGTCAGAAATTAGCAGACAAAAAGATTTTTAAAAATTGCATAACAGAGGAGTCAAATGAAAGTTTATTCCACAAAATAAAATGGTCAGACAATTAACACAGAGCTGTGGTACACTGCTGCTATAAAACAATGGTGATTGCATGGGTGAGAGTGCGCAAACTCTTCTGGGGTGCTCCTTTTATTTCCCATGCTTCATCCTGGTTGGCCAGCTTCAACCTCCATTGGCCAATGTGCAGCTTGGCCAAGCTGCACAAGTGCAAGCCAATCACCCATTCAGGACCTAAAGAGAAACTAGTGGGGAAGGAAGAAAGCAGGAGGAAAACAAAACAAAAACAGTCTGCTTGGCATGTAACACAGAAATGAAGAGGAAGTGGTTCACCTGAAGTTAGAAAGCAAAGCAGTCCATGACTACTATGAGAGGTGGTCTTAAATAGTACACAGAAGGTGATGTTACACTGCTGGGTGAAACAGAGGATTGGTAGGAGGAGGATATTATGCTGAAATATGCCAATAAACATCATAAAATAATTTAAAAAAAGAAAATTGTAAATTGGCAAGCCATGAACACAATATTAATTTAGTCTAACATACATTTATTTGAGTTATGTTTGCAAACATATATAAACTCTAAATTCATTCAGATTTCAGATTTTGAATCCCCTTTTAAAGAAATTCTGTACATGATAACTACTGGGTGAATTTTGCTCATACTTGAGTCTTACCAGAACATTGGTGAAATTAAATCACTCGTCTGTCCCACTCATGAACAAATCTGTTTTTAAGAGGAATTGAGGCCCAATGTGCCAAAGACTATAGATGTAGTTAAATAAGTTGGGTTGACAGGTTTGATCTATCCCCAGGTGAGCGACCATTCCAATGTAATCAGTGTGGCGCCTCCTTCACTCAAAAGGGTAACCTGCTCCGCCACATCAAGCTCCACTCAGGGGAGAAGCCCTTTAAATGTCCCTTCTGCAGCTATGCCTGTCGAAGACGAGACGCACTTACTGGTCACCTTCGCACTCATGCTGGTAGGACAGATTCAAGCCTGATAAACGTTTTTTTTTTGTCTTATGAGAGTGTATAGTGACAAAAGCAATTCCCACTTTGTCCCCAGTCTCTTCTCCAACTGTAGGGAAGCCGTATAAGTGCAGTTATTGTGGCCGCAGTTACAAGCAGCAGAGCACCCTGGAGGAGCACCGTGAGCGCTGCCACAGCTACTTACAGAGTCTGGAGTCACAGCAGCCATCCAGTGCACAGAATCAAGGTACGGTTTTATGGCATTCATGGAGATGGTATGGCAGAAGTAAAGATCATTTTCTCAGATAGGACAGTAACCTAAATGACAACGGTGTTGTAAATGTCAATTTCAAAATGGATTGTAGTAGCATCTAATGTAGAGATGTAGTCTACTTCCTTACCAAGGTAACGCACACAACCCCTCACTTATTTTTTTTTTTTATCCAAATGTTGGTTTAGATTCTAATGAAAACCAGCAGGCAACCTAAACATTTGGGATAAATGCTGTCTAGGTAATTAGAACCGCCCAAAAATAACATTACAGTTTGTTTGTACTCTGTGCAGGAGAGGAGATGAGAGAGCTAGAGTTTATACCTGACTCTCTACTGCAACCCTCCTCAGACAAGATGGCATTTATCGATCGGCTCGCCAACAGCATCACCAAACGCAAGAGATCCACACCACAAAAATTTGTAGGTGAGCATTTGGTCTCAGTGTGGACAGGTTGAGGACACGGTGAAAGCAGCAGTAATCGCTTGAATTGGGTACATCATATAATAGTAGGGCTGCAACTAACAAGTATTTTCATTATCGATTAAGTTGATTATTTTCTCGATTAATTATTGAGAAAACTGGGAAAGATGTCGATCAGTGCATCCCAAAGCCCAAGATGACGTCCTCAAAGGTCCTCTTTTGTCCACAAACAAAATAAATTCAGTTTACTGTCATAGAGGAGCAAAGAAACCAGAAAATATTCACATTTGAGTAGCTGGAATTGGATTAATTGCCAACTTTAAAAAGTTGGCAATTAATTTAATAGTTGACTGCTAATAAATTTATCAAATAATTGTTGCAGCTCTATACAATAGTACAGATTTTTTAAATCCTAGTGATGTGACCACCGGCTTTCACACTTTTATGTATTCAAGCTGTATGATTTCCTGTAGATTCAAACCAAATGTCAAAGTGAATCAGGAACTCATTGGGATGATAATTGACAACAGTGGAAATAGGCTCAGGACACCTATGATATATAACTTCCAACCTCAATATGGCATCTAAAATTAATTTAAACAATGTGGCTTGCCCATCTATACAATTTTTTGTTTTGTTTTGAAAATGCAGTTTTAACGTCTTCCACAGACTTCCATAGTACAGTATCATAAGATCATCTATCTTTTTTGCAGGACAGAAGCACATACGCCTCAACCTTTCAGATGCACCTTATGAGCTAAGCACTGGTTTGGATAAAGAGAGGGAGATGCACGCAGGGAACCTTGAAACCCCGCACTTTACTGGTCTGGGAGGAGAATACGCCGGTGTAGCAGGTAATGGAGGAGGACGGGTATCAGACACACTGAGGCCTACACACCTTCCCACCACTCACTCTTCATGTTTATCAGAACTCAGGCCGATCCACAGCTCCATTCACACTTCCCTCGCTCTAGGCCCGAGGCTGGATTGTACAGGGATTGGAGCTGGGCTGGGCGCTGCGGGTGTAGGGGGGAGGGAGGCAGCAGAGGGTCACGAAGACCTGCCTGCGGGTCGAAGTCACGCACCCTCCCCTAGCAATGGTTGCCAGGACTCCACGGACACAGAGAGCATGCCAGACGAGCCGTGCAACAGTACGGCCCTGACTCCAACCCTGCACAGTAACAACGGCCATCATCTTCTCCTCTCCAACAACCATCATCCAGCGCCTCCTCCCATTGCACACCACAGGAGCCGGGACCGTCACAGTCCCAGCCACGCCAAAGACAGGGAGGTGGAAAGAGAGGATGGAGGCCACTCAGCCCTCCCACCTCCTGCCCTCGCGCCAACTCCCAGCTCACCTACTGCGCCCTCTTCCACCTCTAGGGAGGCATTTCGGGTTGTAGACGGGGAGGGGCGAGCTGTGCGCTCTTTTCGTTGTGAGCACTGCCGCGTGCTTTTCCTGGACCATGTCATGTTTACCATCCACATGGGCTGCCACGGTTTTCGCCAGCCTTTTGAGTGCAACATCTGTGGCCACCGCAGCCAAGACCGCTATGAATTTTCTTCACACATCGTCCGCGGGGAGCACATCCTTGACTGAGGAGAAAGGGTGGACAACCTGCTTCACCTGGAGCTATTGTTATACTAAGACAAGGACCTGGCTGGGTTTGGTCTGCACACGAGACACAAATGACCTGAAGCTGATATTAATATTTCAAACCGGTACTGGTACAGTTAACATGTGCATGAATGGCAAGTTCCTGTGTGTATTTCTTAAATTATAATAGTGGTCCTTATTATTTTCAGTGCACTTTGAACAATGAATTCAAATTCATTTTAATTAAATGTATTCTAAAGTAGATGAAGAGCAAATGCACTTTGTCATCTGTAGATGTGCCTTGCTCCAAAATTGAGGATTCAAACTTGATGCACAAATTATGGGAAAAAATCTGACATTTGTCCCTAACCTGAAAACGTTCCCTTCTTGTGCACTTTAACAGATGTAACTAATAGTATATATAATAAAAAAAAGTGTCAATAAGAAGTTCATAGGATCACCTACAATAGAATCTGTAGAGGTTGTAATGCCGTGTTGCATTTATTCGGTGAAATTATTACCTAACAAATGTTCTGCAAAGTTTTTTCCAAATTGGGGTTGATTCTATATAACAGATTGCTTTTTATAATGGGAATAAGTGAAGACCAAACTCAAAAACCAGGTCCAAGTCGTAGATGTTTCTGAAGGGTTGTCCGTGAATTAGAAATGCACTTTTGTTTTTAATGAGGGTGGTGTGGACAGATCTGAGAGTGTGTGTGTGAGTGTGTGCATGAGTGACCCTGTGTTTTTTGGAAGTAAATTGAATAAGTAAAGTTGAAAATGAAGGCCTTTGTGCGAATGCTGTGTGGGGTAGCGTATGAAATATTTGTTTTTCTTTTCTATGACTGCTTTTGTTGCACTGATACCTGCCAGAATACTATGATTATATTAAACTATTTTATGGAATACATTAATGACCTGCACATTTCTCTCAAAATGTGAGGAAAAACAATTGTTTTTTCTCACTAGGAAAGTATGAGTATGAATATCACTGCCACAGTCTTGGATTACTGAAGAGGTTAGGGTCTTACCAAGTCCTTAACATGTTCCCTTTCATAACGACATCAAACTGCAAACAAACCAACACATATTCTATTTATGCTATATTTAAAAATTATTTTGGTGTTAAATTTCATTGTATTGTGCCTTTCTTCACCCTGATCACACCTTGTTGACCAGAATGAAGGACATGAACTACCAACTGTCATATCTTGAAACAGATCATTGTGGGTGATTTTAGACATCATGAACTACAAAATAATTTACTTATTCAAGTAGCTTTCCAGACACTGTAAAGTCTCTGGCTTACAGCTTTGCACAATCTTTCTTTCATCCTATTCAAAGAACCAATTCTGCTAATTTCTCAAAGACTAAATGTGCATGGCATTTGGCACAAATTGATCTAACATGAATGAGTGCATTGTGGAGTGGCAGTTTACTACTGTCCTCACAGCTTACATCCAAAAAAAGATGTTTTATTTGAATTTTCTTTGAACATATTTCAGTCCACAGAGTTGCCCAGACGCTGGTGTGATGGGAAAGTGACACAGGTGTTTATTTCAAAATGGGTTTTGTCAGTTGTGATCTGTGATGATGAAATGATCCTGTCTGTGTGAAGAAATGTATGTCAAGAGAAATGTGTCAGTGGAAAGGAAACTGCCAGCTCTTGATTCTGTTTCCAGTGATAGTTAATGTAGTCACTCCTCATTACGACTTTACACAGTTTAAGCACAAGAAGTTGAACTGTCCTGCGGGCTGATGAAGTCTAGATTACAGAAATGGGCACAAAAATCAAGACGGCGTTGTAGAAGGTGTATATCTCTGTGTGCTACATTAGAATAGCCATAAAAGTAATTTGGGAAAGACTGAATTTTCACAGATCCGCTTATATCCAAAAAGTCTGGACAAATACTGAATATAGTAAAAATCATCAGCTGAGCCCATTAACTTTTGTGTGCAGTGCAGAAAAAAAAAAGTATTTTGACATTATTTCATATAAGTTTGTAAATTTCCTCAGCATCAAGACATGTTGGTTCTTAGAAGTCTTTTGCAGGCTAAACAGAAACCACGGTCATAAGTGTTGTGAATGGTTCCTTGGTTCTGTCTTATACTGAACTCGATCTTGTACTGAACCTCACATTTTAAGTAGTGGTCTAGATGTGCAGAAGCTCTGAAATATTGTTTTTATGAAGAGGAATAAAAAAAGTACTTTTCATATAATTTTTAGATCACCATGAGCGTAGTTCTCTGTAGCACCAAACAATAGTTCCCCCATGGCTGAGCCAAAGAACCACTTATTTCCTACTGTTAAGCACTTTTCCCTGTTGCAGTGGCAAAATTAAAGTAAATGAATATATTTGTACATACAGTATGAATTAGGACGAAGCTGCAAGGTAATATTTCTCTTTTCGTTGCTCTGTCAGGCAAACCTTGTAGATGTTAAAATGGTCTCTCTTTTTTCTCCAGGAGTTCTCTCCACTTAGTTTTGCAGAAGAATCTTTTTGGGGGTTTTCCCCTTTCAAAATAAAAGTTGTAGATGTTTACCTCAAATTTACTTTTGTTTAAAGAATTGTAACAAGTGGAGCTACATTTGTTTTGACAGATGGTGAGAAAGTTTGCTTTGGTGCACATTGCTGAATGAGGTTTATAATGCTCTTTGGTGATCTCTTCTCAGCCGTAATGAAACAAACTAAAATAGGTGGTTCAAATTTTCTCTCCCAAAGTTGAAGTTGCATTTAATAATCAAATTGTCTTGCCTTAATATAAGAATTGACTGTTTAGAATTGACAAGTTTGTTTTAAATTGAACGTCTGTCACCGAATCTTGAAATGTACTTTCCTGTAACCTAATCAAGAAAATACGGACAGTGCGACTTCAAATGATTCAACACCAAAGTTGTCTTTGTAAATTACTGAAATGATCATATGCGAGCAAAAAAAATGCTTTGACCAATCAATACGTTACACTCTTCTTCACTGTGCATATTTGGATTTAGACAACAACTTGTGTCTGCACAAAGGCCCAGGTGTGATTCCTGTGTATTAGACTTAACTATTGTGCCTTTGGCTTAAGGTCTTTTCTGCATCGTTTCCTCCCACCCCTCTCAGTTAAAATTGTTACATTTGAAGTGTACTATTTGGTTTGAAAATGTTATTTACAAACAACTGTATACCTAATACGGCTAAAAACAGTGACCTTGGCCAGATTGCTAGGAGCCCCCAAGTCTGTCAAGTATTGTACAAAAGTAAAGAAGCGTGGGTCCCCAATCCCTCATGACTTCAAATCTACTGCAGAATTCATATTTGATCAATTCTAATTCTGCATGAAAGAACGAGCACATTTTACCATGCAAGAGAAAATGTGTCCCTTTTTCCACATGTTGAGTTTGCATGTATTTTTTTTAAATTCATGTGCAACACTAGACAGTAATGTGCTTCTAAACCTGATGCATGTGGTACCAATGCTGTTTGCGCCTCAATTTACACTCTGGCCACCTTTCCATTTTCTCAAAAGTAAACTGTAATCCCAGACCAAGACAGCTATAAACTTCAGAAGAGAGACTTGTTTTGTGGTATTTTGTTCAAATGTTTTCCTTGTTGCACTGTCTGTTCCCTTCAGTTTTACCATCTTTGTTAACCTCCCCACTCCTGTAAATGGTCTGATATCGCTTTAAATAACTGCAGAGCCTTTTTAAATGTATCATATGTAATTATGCATTTGCGTAATTTGATCTTAAACTACTGTAAGTTTTGTACTGTAAGAAAGTCTATTCCAAATAAAAAAAAATACTTGACAGGCCTTTCTTCTCTACAGCTACACCACACACGGTTAATAACATCACACATTCAGGTTTTTGTAAAGAATTTTTAGTTTATTCTTCAAGTGTACAGCATCTTCAGATTCTGCTTTACATGGGTTTTGGAGGAGCTCTTGGTGCACCGGCCTGTAAAAAACAACAACACTTGGATTAATATCTGATACCGACCCTTCTCACTGTGACAATGTGATTTCGAACAGGTGTCACAAATAACATAATTGGTTGTCCTGCATTCAGGTTTGCTAGTTCCAACACCCTACTTATTGACTCATCCTAAAAAAGGTGCAATACCATCATGAATGTTAGTAAAAATTTTCCTGCTACTACTTGTCAAATGATCCACAGGTCTATTATATAGTTGAGCTTCACTAAACAGATGTGACCGTAAAGTGCTGTAGAAGGTACTCACAGCGGGCCTGAATCTTGGCGGTGGGGTGCGGTCTTTCCTGGCCTCACAGGAGCGGTTCCTCACCACCTTACTGTGGATAGCACAGCTGACACAGTAGTGCAGCTTCACATAGAGCTTGGGCAGAACATAAGCTGCGGAGTGAACACAGTGGTACAGATGAGGACAAGTCACCAGGATCAATACACAAAAGACTGATGATGAAATATACTTACGGTCAAAGACACTGGCCTCTGTGATGTCTCTCACGGCCGCCGCCTCCACTATGTTCCTGATGACAAACTTCTTGATGGCTTTGTCCTTGGGGACACAACGGGCACAGTTGGTGCAGCGGATGGGCTGCACATGCCCACGGCCCTTCTTAGCGCGACCGTTATTCCTCCTCTTCTTGGTCTGTCAAACAGAAGATGACACAGTTAAGAAGAGACTGACAACTAGGTTTGAGAAATTTACCTCGATCTTTGGTACACAGCAGTGTTTTAACAGTAGTCAGTGTTGTGTATCAAACTGTTTTTCATCTAATTAAGACGTTATTGTATGGTTCATTTGTGTTGATATTTAGCATTTGAGAACTTGTTAAACTAAAAAGGTTAGTGTTTTTACATTTGTAATACACAGCCCTTACACCAGCAGTCTGCAATACTGGCAAATCACTTAAATTGTTTCATAGTCTATTTCAGTTACACTGATTTGGCATTTAATTTACATTTTAGAGTATGAATACCTGAATAATAACGCTAACGTTAGTCCCCAACTTTATATAGTAACTCAATGCTGCCAAGTTGCGGTTTATTTAGTGGATGTAACGTTAATGGATGCGGTGTCTCGAAACTGCTGCCATTGCACCACTGACTCATGTGTCACTACGTATATAATTTTACATTTAACCGTATGATTAACCTGACGCATTAATACACATGAGAAACTACGATATATATTGAATACAGACTGCTTCGCTGTTTCTCCGCGCATTAACAGTAGCATTCTTTGCTAGTTCACGGGAACACATGCACAAAACGGTTAGCATGCTAACAGCTAGCATCAGGCCCAGAATCATTTTTTAATTACACTGAGTGATAGTTAATGAAAATGTACCACATTGTGACTTAGCTATGTGATTAAAATACCTAAAGATAGTCAATCGTGTGTGTATTTTCGAATAAAATGCCAATTTATTCCGTTTTCGCCAGACGACCGACACTGAAACACACTCACCATGTTGCACGGGAAGCTGGAAAGAGGACCGGAAGAGGTTGTACCCTGAGAAGTAGTGCCATCCGCTCCGCCCTCGAAATATTTGTATCAAAAACACAACTCGGCCATGTCTTGTTTTATTTTATTTTTTTTAAACAAATGATGTGTGTCTGTTCGCAGTTTGAACGAAAACAAATTAAATAAAAAAATCAGGAAAATAACATTAATGATGTTTTATTCGCGGAGGGATATCAATGTACTCAAGGTTTTTCATTTAAGCGTCACCCGAGTGAGTGGAGTTCTCGATTTCTGCAATAAACCGTATCAGGAAGGCGGGGCCTTCGAGCAGCGCCGTATAGTAAAACAAGCCTACCTATGTTCTTCATGTAAGATATTGTCTGGCAAAACAATACATTCAAAAAGATGTTTAGACCTCAGTGTGACTGAAATTAATCAAACGACTTGTTTTATTGGCCTCATGTTTTTCACTTTTTCATCAATGGCTTGAATTTTAGGCTGCTGTAAATGCTTGGCTTACAAAAGTATGAAAAGGTGACAATATTAGTGTTTTACATTATTTTACAGCTGAATTATTACAAATTATTTCAATGTTACATTACAGTCAGTCATTCTCCAGATCATGCTGTAATGTTTCTGATTTATCTTTGTATTTGTCTTACCTTTGAGATAGCCATTAAGTTTAACTGCAAGGTATTAAAAATAATTTGCAGACTTGAGTCAGACAACTTGTTGAAAGGGAATTAAACTTTGTGGTAATGTAGTTGCAAGTATAGACTGATCACAGAAGTCTGCACTGCATTTCCACACAATAATAATTTTGAGGAAACTTTGAGAAAATTAAACAGACATTACTTCAATGAATAACCTCACTGAATACAGCTTTAAGAGTTCAAAATGTTTATACATTGTGAGAATCAAAGGCTGCCTGGAAAATTCAATGACATGCCTTAAAAAATACTGGAAGTCATCTATGTGATATACGGTAAATGGGATAACTTGTCTGATAAATACAATACTGGAAGAGATGCACTGTGGAGCCAGCGGTAGGTGAAGCATTTTGGAACAGAGGTGCAATAAAAGGAGATGCAGATAAGCAGATGTAACATTTTAGAATAAGCTGTAAGCAGTAAGCTATACGAGGGGAGGCAGTTTATTTAGTTAGTATTCGTAGTAAATAGTATTTAATCCCTCAGATGATGCTCCCATCATCTCCAAAGAATATCTCTTAGTAACACATCAACATTTTAGGTAATTACCTTCGTCGTGTTTTTCTACATAAAGCTATCACTCAGTGGTGCTCTTTCTTATTGGTCTACCCTTTACCTGGTTATAAACAAACATGTCTTGGCACAAGCTTCTATTAAATACATTCACATACAAAATACTCCAAGAAAATGTAAGTGCACCGTTTTGCAAGCTGTTCTAACAGTAAACCGTACTTGCACTTTAACACAATGTCCTGTTGGTGTTTACTAATATTGTTTTACCAATTTTTTGACTGCTTGTGGTGTCTGTTAAAAAGATGTGTTCTCATTGTAGGATTTTTTTGTAATAGAGCTACCATGTAAAGGAGCAAAGACACTTTGTAGTTCTGTAATTCTGTTACAAGGTAGATTTATTAGCATTTTACAACACAGGGTGGTTTAACAAGATTAAGTTGTAATTTCCTTTATGCTACAGCACAACTGTTGCTTATATTGTACTTGTAACATAGTCACAGTCTAATCTCTGCTTTTAGTGACATGTTGATTTATTTATCTATTGCAGTTGCGGCAAGACTATCTGAGGTTCAGGAGGTAGAGTCTGGTTGTGATTTGATCTCCTTCTCCCCTTACCCACATGTTGAAATGGGCAAGATACTGAACCCTAAATTGTCACTACCATCAGTGTGTGAGTATGAGTGTGTGAGAATGAGAACAAGCGGCAAGTTGTAAAGCGCTTTGGATAAAAGCTATATAAATACAGCTATTTATTATCAAAATGTTCTGGCGCTGCTGTTGTCTCTGGATACCTGCTCGTGAAATCTCACTGTCTCACTTACTATCACTAACCTGGGACCTACAGACAGTGCAAACATCATAGTTACTGAAGCTGTTAATAGTATAACACATACATTAAACTCTAATAACTGCTGTACTTTTGAAAATACCTTAATTCCAGATGCTAATAACCATATTAAAAGCATCTCTTAATACTAAATAAACTTGGAGAACACAAAATACAATTACAAAATTTTATTTAAATAGTTGTGTGCTTTGTCCTTATTTCTTCTTGCTCTTCTTATCCTTCGCCTTCTTTTTGCTAGGCTTCTCAGCACTGGCCTTTTTGTAGAGGTAAAGTCCCACCAAGCCGAGCAGAGTGGGCACCAGGGCCAAACACACGAGGGGGAACACGTCGTTGACCATTTTCTGCCACGGCGTCTGCTGCGTCAGAGAAACCACCTCCACCTCAAACTCAAGAGCAGCATCACCTAGGGCATAAGTTCATGTTCAATGTTTTGTCGTATCAGGTGTTGATCGGGTGTTTCATTTAATTTGTATGCATATATAAATAAATGAGTATGTAAACTATAAGATAAAATAAATAGTATTATATAACATCTAAAAAAGAAAAACAGTCACTAACATATACTGTATATTTAAAGGAGAGCGGTGATATACATAATAAAAATATCCCATGCACTAGGTGACACGTTCCTTCATTACGATAAACATGGGCACTGTTGGTCATTCCGACATACTGTATACTGCCCTGTTGCTAACTAATTAATACAGAACTGCACCACTCTTATGCTTATATGCTCAGTGGGACTGTGCTAATGTGTGGGATCATAGTTGTGAAGTCGTGAAGTGAAGTGCAAACATGGTTCAGTGCTCAGTACCTGGAATCGTGGGAGGGTAACCTTTTTTTCCGTATGCAAGGTGAGATGGAATAGTGGCTTTGATTTTTTGCCTGAAAGAGAGAAAGAGAAACACTAAACACATTTGCTGTGGAAGCATTTCTCAAGACCTTCATCACAAAACTATTAACTTTGGTATTTTCATTATTAATTCATTTGATTCACGACTGCATGCAGCTGCTGAAAAGTAAATCTATTGCTAGGCTCTTTTTTCCCAATGGACCTTTTTGCTTACCCTTCACACACACCAACCAAGCTTTGTTCCAGACCTGATAAGAAAATCACACAGAGAAAGACAATCAGCAAAGCGAGCACATTCCCTGGCATGCAACAGGCTGCAGTTATCTCTCAAATGTAAGCAGATCAAAGTATCACTGACTGAGCAACACAAAAGGGATTTACTGTTAATTTACCGGCAATGACTGTCCTCTTCCCCAGCTCGACAACAAGAGGGTCCATGGATAGTGATGAGTCGATCACCTTTCCATCCATCAGTTTACCCTGGACAATGGAGGCAGGAGATGGTGACATGAAAGAAAAACAGTGAGAGTTTTCACAGTTTAATTTGTTTGAATTTTTTGATTTATGAGTCATTTGTGCAGAGGTGGGTTTGACTTATTTTAAAGCATGAAAATATTCTGGTGGACACAACATGTAAAGAAAGTTTTATAAATTGTAAAGTAAAATAAATGTGCAGCTGGTTAGCTTAGCTTAGAACAAAGACCGCAACCATGAGGAAACAGCCAGCCTGGTTCTAAAGCTACTCTACAGATTTTTTTGTATGAATTAAACAAACAAGACGTTAGATGTAAATTGAGTTTTAAAAGTAATGGTAAGTGCATTTTGTTTCCCCCTGTTTCCAGTCATTGTGCTAAACTAACTGGCTACTGGTTCCTGCTTCATATATAACATGCAGCTATTAGAGTTGGATATATCTTCTCATTCCTCTCTCTGCAAGGATCTAAATAAGTGTATATCCCAAATTGTCCCACGATTGCTATAAAGTTAGAAAATAAGTAAAGCAAAAGTATGGACTAGGTAAAAGTAAATTGTGAGATATTTATGAAACTTGCTAACATTGGAAATTATATACATAGATGTAATAAGAACAGTACGGAAGCCCTGAGAGGCAAAGACATTCTGGTTATCCATTTTCTACATCTAATCTAAATTGTTTTGTCGCCTGTGTTTATGAGTTAAGAACAGGTGATAAGTTAGTTTTATTTATTTTTTTATTGTGAAAAATATTTCGGCCACAGGAGGCTGAAATGTACCACTACCCCCCATGTTCTAAATAGTACTAAAAGCATGCATGTTTTTTCCCAGGTGATGCGTGGATTAAAATACATTTCTAGCCAATAGATAGACATGACAGTTATGTTACATAACTTGCTAACACACACAATATACTGTATGTCCCTTGTGTTTAAGTGCATGGAGAAATTAAAACTTACCTGGCAGAAAAACTTGACATACAAACGTGAATGCTTTCAGTCCTATTTAGAACACTTTTTTCACCTGTTTTAAGTCATAAACAAAGGAGGGAAATCAATTTAAATCATTTTTTTCCCCTAACTTGTCTCTCAGGGCTTCCATAGCACAGCTTGGATCTTGACAATTAAACACTTACAGCAAACATCACTGTGTATTTGTCTTACAGTTGCTGCTAGCAATCATGCAGTCTGTTGATGCCAGATCTTTTATTCTTCAACTCTTTATTGCTGTCGTTTGATAATGTGACCACTGGTGCTCAAAGGAACATTCAGTTATCTAATTTATATGAGACAGTCTTTCATTAAGCAGTAATCCTTTGCCTTGCCTGAGTCATTTATTTCAACAAAGAGCCAAATCATTAAGAGTAAATTATCAATTAGAAAGCACTGAGCCTAATGAATTGGGCTATTATGTGATGCCTTATTAGGGCCAGGTGCATTGGAGAGGTCAATCAGTTATCCAATATATTATTAGAAATGCACAGACAGTTTAAGCATCCATGGCAGGACAAATATAAAGTATGTTTAGGTGACTAATATGAGTGATCAAGATCTAGGTCATTTCCAGTTATATTTGGGTTATTTCTAATTAAATAAGCAGTTTTATTAGGCCACTTAGTGATTTGTGTTGTTAAACCACCTTTGGGGGGTTTAGATTGACATGTAAATATTTTTATATCAGATGCTTAGCTCTGTGATGTACTAGCAACACATCAGAGGCACACATTTGGACTAACTAAACTAACGGACATTGCGCATTTGGTTGCTGTGCCATGCTGCTTAAATTCATGTCGTAAAAAATTCCCCCAATATCAACAAGTGTGAGAGCTGAAAACCACGAGCCTCCAGTACAATGCATGGATGAACTGGTCAGAGTGCCAGCGCTGTTATTGCTGACGTGTTGCACCGCCCCACCGTCACACAATAGTTAAAGCAAAGGCGATCTTCTCGCGCACGAGATAAAACCAAATAAAGCACACTGATAGACACCAAACCACAGGAGAGTCGTGTTCAATCAGAGAGCCATTTCTATCAGCTGTTTGTTATTCATCTTCAGTGACAGTGTGTAAATGCAAAGCGGTGTCCACATGGTTCATGCAGGCGGTGCCACATAGACAACAACTGCATTCGTCAGCAGCTGGACAGGATTTATACACATTGTTGTAAAATGCACACATAGCGGACTGGATTGTTTCATCAGTTTTATCTGGAAGTTGGCAATGAAGAAATCCTTTATCTGTCTTACCGTGTAGTGGATTTTCAGCGTGTCTCCCATTGCGGAAAGTACAGAGCAAGTTTCGGGTTTCACCTTGGATCAGAAGAGTGAATAGTTAACACCATTGCATTTATTTGCCTGTGAGTGTTACTGCGTTAGAGCCGCTGTGTTTCTGCAGTGTGGACTGTGTTACATTGTAATAGCTACATGTGTCCCACTCACCAATGTCTCCACCTGCAGCTCCTCGGCTGCATTTCCGTCTCCCTGCACGAGTCCACAGGTGAAAGCTGCGAGCAGGAGCAGAAAAACGCTGGTTTTCATTGTGAACTTGTGGGAAAAAGCTGCCATCCGGTAACTTCCGTGTAGGCTTCTTCTACACACCGCAGAGAGAGAGAGAGAGAGAGAGAGAGAGCCGAGCTGCACAGTCGGCCCCGTCGACCAGTGTGTCCAAAATGGCTCAGCAACGAGTAATGCTGATGTGTTGTAACACTGGAGCGATAAGGACTAGCGGCCCGTGGACGTTGTCCCAACACCTGGGTCTCCCTGAAGAGCCCGCCTCAAACATTCCGCCAGCATCCCATCAGGCTGCCGCGGGTGAGAAGCGGAAGCGGCGCTCTGCAGTGGCGCTGGGGGGCGGTGCTGTGCAGCCACTGCCCGGATCTGCTGCTCCATGCAAGAGAGACCTCAAGAGAAGACATCCCCTGCTAAAAAGCCTGCTGCAGACGCCACGTCGCTGCTAGTCCCTCAGTAGCCCGCTGCTCCTCCTGCAGAAATGTAAAGATGATAGCTAGAAGGCAGCCCGGAAGTGATATCAAATATATTACATATATACAAAAATATATTAAAGCTGCAGTAGGTAACTTTTATAATAAAAACTTTTTGTCATATTTGCTTAAACTGTCACTATATCTTGATAGTAGCACATGAGACAGACAATCTGAAAAAATCTAATGCCAATTGCAATATTTCTCCATGCCCTGAACAAAACAACCAATCAGAGCCAGGAAGAGTCTCTAATGCAATGTCAGTCACTGCTCCAGCAGAGGCTGTGCAGCCCCTCTCCTCGTGCATGCTCTCAGTCAAGCTTAATTTCTTCAAGGCGGCTTCAGAAGTTTTGCAAACACAATAGTAGTTTTAACGCTGCCTTATTTTCCGGGACAATTGCAGCAATACTGTCTCGCTGCGCTGTATGAAAGGTACGGAGCCAGAAGAGGGGGGTCAAATTTGATCTGCCTCTGAGCCGGGAACGTGGGCAATAACAGAGCTGGGACAATGTCTGTGTGAAAAGCCACAGTCGGCATGCCGGTGTTGTATAAGACATAACGGCCTTTTTCTACACCTGTGGTTCCGGAAAGCCGGATCGCTATGTGAAAGCGCACATGGTGGCAGGATTATGCCGCAAATGTTGGATTAGTATGAACGAGCCAATGCAGCATAGGCGGAAATTCATGTTTATTGCGGGATTTCTGTGTGAAAGCAGCGAATGTCGGAGGAACAACCACCAGCAACAAAAGAATTGCCCATCCCTCCTGCCAACAACAGCGTATATTACAAAATAAATGTGTGAACACGTCCCGGTTCCACGCAGAGCTTCGGGCTCATTACGTTCAATGCCATGCCGCTCGTATCAACAAGTGGCAAAGACGCATGATGACAAACAGTGGGGAATAAAGGGGGGGAAAGTGGTGTACTAGCCTCCCATCCCACTGTTAGACATTGTTGCAGGTGCCTCTGAAGCCTGGGGCGCTCTGCCCTGGGCCATGAAGCGTTGGAGGGGCGTCTTTGAGAAGACGATGCGTGGAGAGAGGCACCGGGATCTTGGCGACGCTCTCGCTCACTGTCATGGAAAGTGAGACCTAAGCAGGATGAGGTTTCATAACAGCAACTAGCACCTGCTTGTGGATTTGGTGGGAGGGGCTTAGCAGAGTGATACGAGCTGCAGAGAGAGACACGCAAGGTTTTGCATTGTATGTACAGTTGTTACCGACTGCTGCTTTAAAGCTCATGAGAACTTGTTTTCAAAATAGTATTTATCTGTAAAATTAAATATGTCGGGATAAATATGCAACAGTAAGTCTGAGTTCAAAAACATTATTAGTTATTATTTATCAAGAGTTTAACACTCAAAACTACACTCAGATCTACTTCAGCTGTCTCAGGCAGCATAAGCAAAGAAAAAACAACAACACAACACAACTATTTGGTTATCAAATTTAGATTAAAATGTTGCTAAACTCTGATTGGTGCGCAGCAATCCATTACATCACCTTTTCCCAAAGGAGCTCACTGAAAACCAAGGCCAATACAATAAGTTAACCAAAGCAGTTTTGTGTTCTTATAGGACCACATTATTCAGAGTAAGAGTTAAGAATCTGATTAAGAAAATTTGTTTTCAGGGCCTTTAAAATCCTATAACAACTAATTTTGTACAATACAAAACTAAAACTAAAATCTGCTATAAAAGTGTAAAACAAAACAAACATTGTGTTGTCACATACAAAGTTGATTAATAGTGTATTCATTAGCATACTCGTTATGATTCTTATAGATTTGTTTTAATTAGTAAGTGTTCGGAAAACTGTGATGTTGAACTGATTTTCTTCACCTATGACTCACTTTTATCACTTATTTGTGTATGATTTTTGTTATTTTGATCCTGTCAGGCAGAAACCCTCTGTGGCTTGTTAACAGGTTCATTAAATGTCAGCGAGTCAAGTATGAAGCACAGTTGTGATCAGTGGTTGGAAAAAGAAACGCAGCAAAAAGTGCCATCTTGGATGATAAATAAAACATGATGAAGAGCCCTCTAAGGTGCCCATCCAGTGGAGAAAACGTGATGCAGTGCCATATAGGCTGCCCTGCCAGAAACTTTGTTGGCCTCTATGTGCCTTTAAATGGTTAATTAGTTTCCAGTGTGTTTTTTTTTACAGAGGTGTAGTTATACTTCAAATCTGAGTCACATAACAAAACAATTTAATCTCAACCAGTGTTTGGAACTGTGTTTCACTATAAATGCATCATGACTCTTTGCACACTGGTGCTTCACCGGATGCAGCTGGTGTCCAGCCTGAGTGTGAATGTAGCTTACCTAAAACATGGGTCATTCACTTAACCATCAAGCAAGTTTAGAAATATGAAAACATATATATTCACATGAACTCCTGATTTGTATGCACATGTACATTGCAAACTCTTAACACATTTAATGGTCATTCATTTGTTTCTGTGAAACCACAGAATCAGAAGAAGAGAAAAAAACTGTTGTATAGGAGTCTCTGAAAAGGTATGACAGCTTCAAGAGAAAGAAAGAAAAATGTACAATGGCATAAATGGGGAGTGTACTCTTTCTTTTATTCCTGTACAATATTGTCAGACGCAACGTGACAATTCTGTCACCCTGCCTCTCTCAACCTCTAAAATCTCAAACTCAGAGTCATACATGCCAAATTGATAAACAGGGTGTCTGCAAGTCCCCAAGCTGTTGTACTAAAGAAGTCGTTTTTGCCTGAGGACCCAGTTCATTTCACCTTGTCAGCTGTGTCATCCATAAATCACTTACACGTCTCCTAGCTTTATTTGCAACAATGACCCATACAACTACAGTCAATTAAAAACTGTCCCGAGTCCTCTGTTTACAATAGAAGTTTACAATAGAAGTGTCACTGGCACAGATTACATTATTTGTCCCACATGCTTATATTAGACAAAGGATTTGGAGCTAGGAGTGAAGCTTTGTTATATGGTGCTAACTGAAACAAACCTAGGCTGCTCAATGATAAATGTACTAAGTGTCATGGAACGCTGCTTGCAGGCTCGAGCACTGTGCTACTTATTCACATCGAGCCACATGCAGAACCTCTGTGAACAACCTTGTATGTCACAATGTGTAGAAGCATTGCGCTGAAATAGAAATGAATGACTCATCTTTGAGTGCAAACTAAAGATAAAACCTTCCTCCCTCAGTTCACAGAAGTAGATTTGGGACCTTATGCTGGTAAAACCACAATATTCCTTTTTTAAATATCCGATTTGACCCTATGCCACATTCAAATACTGTATCAAAATGCATGTAGGTTTTAAGATTCATGTAGGTAACCAAAAGGTATTACATTTTCTGTGGTAACAGTCTGTCAAAACATGTAATTATATTGATTATTATGATAATTTTACATAGCAACATCAAAAATCAAGACTGTGTCACATTGAAATGCTCTCGACCATTTATTTCATACTAATGCTTGCATGATCCTTTCAAGTACCTCAATTTAGAAACTTTGCTTTGTTCCCCATCTGTAGATGAAAATATTGCACAAGTGTTATGCAATACTGAAGACCAATTCACCATTTCCTGAAAACTCAACAACTTCACATGTATAACAGGAACTTTATATAACTTTATATTACAGGATGTCAGACTCAGTGGCAATTCGATTTATTACAACTTAAAAATTCTTAGTCTTGTAAGTACAGTTAATTTCCAATTAACACATCAACACTGAACTTGATGCTAATTAGCATACAACACATTCAGATTTGGTGAAGCAAGCCTGTAGCTGTTGTTTATCTCTTGGAAAACCTCCTGAGCTGGTTTGCAGTGATCAATCAAATGTACTTTTAAACATACTATGATCCACATTGTTACATGTAATGTCATGGGCAATCATTTTAATACATACAGTGAGGAAAATAAGTATTTGAACACCCTGCTATTTTGCAAGTTCTCCCACTTAGAAATCATGGAGGGGTCTGAAATTGTCATCGTAGGTGCATGTCCACTGTGAGAGACATAATCAAAAAAAAAAAATCCAGAAATCACAATGTATGATTTTTTAACTATTTTTTTGTATGATATAGCTGCAAATAAGTATTTTAACACCGGTCTCAGATGAGACCAAAATAGAACTTTTTGGTCATAATTCCACTAACCGTGTTTGGAGGAAGAAGAATGATGAGTACCATCCCAAGAACACCATCCCTACTGTGAAGCATGGGGGTGGTAGCATCATGCTTTGGGGGTGTTTTTCTGCACATGGGACAGGGCGACTGCACTGTATTAAGGAGAGGATGACCGGGGCCATGTATTGCGAGATTTTGGGGAACAACCTCCTTCCCTTAGTTAGAGCATTGAAGATGGGTCGAGGCCGGGTCTTCCAACATGACAATGACCCGAAGCACACAGCCAGGATAACCAAGGAGTGGCTCTGTAAGAAGCATATCAAGGTTCTGGCGTGGCCTAGCCAGTCTCCAGACCTAAACCCAATAGAGAATCTTTGGAGGGAGCTCAAACTCTGTGTTTCTCAGCGACAGCCCAGAAACCTGACTGATTTAGAGAAGATCTGTGTGGAGGAGTGGGCCAAAATCGCTCCTGCAGTGTGTGCAAACCTGGTGAAAAACTACAGAAAAACGTTTGACCTCTGTAATTAACATTAACATTGATTTTCTCAGGTGTTCAAATACTTACAAATAATTTTTTAGATTATGTCTCTCACAGTGGACATGCACCTACAATGACAATTTCAGACCCCTCCCTGATTTCTAAATGGGAGAACTTGCAAAATACCAGGGTGTTCAAATACTTATTTTCCTCACTGTATATATAAAATTATTTGAAGAACTATATAGGCTATAGAAGCTGTAATGACTAAGGCACACCAGCATGTTCATGATGACCAAATAGGCCAGAAAAGCAACTGCCCTAAAGTCTCGGACCATCAGGGGCCACAGGTACACTCTGTGGGAATTAATTTGTTTTTATTTTATTAATTGCAAACCTGTATTATGCTTAAATGGTGAGGACAGGTCCTACATGTTTACCTAACCTCAAGGCCCTGTCTTGTAGAGGGGCACGGGTAACCAAATCTAATCTGAAAGTATTTGTTATTTTAGTTGATAATATGCTTACATGGTGCATATTTTAAAATACATTTATGTTAAATCAAATCATCACAAACTAACTGGCACACAGCAGATCTGGGGCGGGAAAGTATTCCCAGAACAGGAACACTTGTTCCTGTTGCCATGTGCGGTCTGCAGTGTACCTGATGGGTGCTGAACACAACAGGATGCACAGTGCACAGACATAACTGAAAAACAGAGCTGTAACTAATCACAACAATCATGGCTCATTTCCATTAAGTGTCCCAGTGAATGTGTTATGCCAATAAACCTGCATGCACCATTACAGCAAGTCCCACGACTGTTAAACCTAAATGGCATGCAGCCATTTATGCCAGTAGTTCCACATGCAGTTTTCCTGCAGTGACATGTCAAAATGTCTGCAGTGAAAAAAAGGCCTGTAGGGACCCAAACATGTTTTTTGTACACTAAACTGTTAATCTGGCCCTGGTTGTTACTCTAGGGGATGGTGATGGTGCAGTGGATAACATGCATGCCTTTGGTGTGAGAGACCCAGGTTCAACTCCCCACTGTAACACATCCACCAATGTGTTCCTGAGCAAGACACTTAACTCCTAGTTGCTCCAGAGGCGTGCGACAGAATTTAATAGTGTGTGGATAGATTGGTATGCCAAATGTTTTTGTGGCATGTCTATACTTTAATAAATGCACCAAAACATTGTATTGGAAATGCAAAGTTATGTAATTAATCATAAATAGCAGCCACCTTGTGGTAAAACATGTGAATGAATGGTCATTTAGACCTACTGTATTATACACTGCTCAAAAAAATAAAGGGAACACTTAAACAACACAATGTAACTCCAAGTCAATCACACTCCTGTGAAATCAAACTGTCCACTTAGGAAGCAACACTGATTGACAATCAATTTCACATGCTGTTGTGCAAATGGAATAGACAACAGGTGGAAATTATAGGCAATTAGCAAGACACCCCCAATAAAGGAGTGGTTCTGCAGGTGGTGACCACAGACCACTTCTCAGTTCCTATGCTTCCTGGCTGATGTTTTGGTCATTTTGAATGCTGGCGGTGCTTTCACTCTAGTGGTAGCATGAGACGGAGTCTACAACCCACACAAGTGGCTCAGGTAGTGCAGCTCATGCAGGATGGCACATCAATGCGAGCTGTGGCAAGAAGGTTTGCTGTGTCTGTCAGCATAGTGTCCAGAGCATGGAGGCGCTACCAGGAGACAGGCCAGTACATCAGGAGACGTGGAGGAGGCCGTAGGAGGGCATCAACCCAGCACCGCTACCTCCACCTTTGTGCAAGGAGGAGCAGGAGGAGCACTGCCAGAGCCCTGCAAAATGACCTCCAGCAGGCCACAAATGTGCATGTGTCTGCTCAAACGGTCAGAAACAGACTCCATGAGGGTGGTATGAGGGCCCGACGTCCACAGGTGGGGGTTGTGCTTACAGCCCAACACCGTGCAGGACGTTTGGCATTTGCCACAGAACACCAAGATTGGCAATTCGCCACTGGCGCCCAGTGCTCTTCACAGGTGAAAGCACGTTCACACTGAGCACATGTGACAGACGTGACAGAGTCTGGAGACGCCGTGGAGAACGTTCTGCTGCCTGCAACATCCTCCAGCATGACCGGTTTGGCGGTGGGTCAGTAATGGTGTGTGGTGGCATTTCTTTGGGGGGCACCTCCATGTGCTTGCCAGAGGTAGCCTGACTGCCATTAGGTACCGAGATGAGATCCTCAGACCCCTTGTGAGACCATATGCTGGTGCGGTTGGCCCTGGGTTCCTCCTAGTGCAAGACAATGCTAGACCTCATGTGGCTGGATAGTGCAAGCAGTTCCTGCAAGAGGAAGGCATTGATGCTATGGACTGGCCGGCCCGTTCCCCAGACCTGAATCCAATTGAGCACATCTGGGACATCATGTCCCGCTCCATCCACCAACGCCACGTTGCACCACAGACCAGGAGTTGGTGGATGCTTTAGTCCAGGTCTGGGAGGAGATCCCTCAGGAGACCATCCGCCACTTCATCAGAAGCATGTCCAGGTGTTGTAGGGAGGTCATACAGGCACGTGAAGGCCACACACACTACTGAGCCTCATTTTGACTCTTTTTACGAACATTATATCAAAGTTGGATCGGCCTGTAGTGTGGTTTTAAACATTGATTTTAAGTGTGACTCCAAATCCAGACCTCCACGGGCTGATAAATTTGATTTCCATTGATAATTTTTGTGTGATTTTGTTGTCCGCACATTCAACTATGTAAAGAAAGGAGTATTTAATGAGATTATTTCATTCATTCAGATCTAGGATGTGTTATTTTAGTGTTCCCTTTATTTTTTTGAGCAGTGTTTATAACAGTAACATTGATAAGCTTTGACTAATAGGCTGTGGTACCTGCATTAAGAGGCTAAAATATTTTTGGGTGGCTCCAAACAGGTATTTTTCATTCTTTCTGGTCAACAGAAGCTCTTTAGATGGTAAAGGTTGGGAGATGTCTGGACTAAAATGTAGTTTAAATGTAAAAAAAAAAAAAAAAAAAAAGGCCTAGGTAGGCCTATTAATTCAAATAGTTTTAACTTTCTAACATCATTGATAAGCATTGTGCTATGGTATCTGAGCCAAGCTTTAACAATATTTGCTGTGTAAACAAAAGATTTATTTACCCTGCACGCCCACACAGATGTTTTCACTTATTCTGGTTGATTAGGCTTCTGCTCAGATTGTAGGTGAGCTGAGCTTTGCTGCAAATTACCAATGTATCAATAAGAATGAAAAAAGTGTAATTTTTTCCCATCCAATAAAGCTAGCTAGTAAGGGCAATGGCAATCAAAGTCTGTACACGGCCAGTCCAGAGGGAAGGTCTAATTTATTAGATCTGTGTTGGTAGATGATGGGTGTAAGGGGCAAAATGGTAAATGGAAGCTGTTAACATATTCACGTCCCCAAAACCAGCTATTTGTGTTTAGATTTGTCCATAACTTTTCAGGAAAATTAAACCCTGCAGGAGTATTTGAGTCTTGGATGTAGACACATAGCCTACATGAAATCAAATCATGGGATAACAATAGGTAAAACAAGGGAGACCAAAGTCACTTAGGCTACCTGTGCTGAGCTCATTTTACTTTATGCCTGTTTAGCGTAGGCCTATAATATAATTATGTATTTTCGCAACTGAGGTACCGATGTTTCAAAAACTGACATAGGCTACACGAAATATATAAACCTGGTTGTTCAAACGTCCTTACAAAGCGACTGTCAACTGAATTTTCGTTTTGACATCTAATCTCGCGAGATCTGATGTACTGCTGCGTTGTATCCCGGAAAATACCGTGAGACATTTAGTAGAGGACTACTCACCAAAGGTAAGTGGGGATACTGGCATCACCGTCACCCCGATAATACACACGTAGGTTAGTTCCCAGCAGTGATGCAGTGTTTGTTGTCTGTACTGTGGGGCTGTATAGCCTCAGTGTTGTCCGTGCTGAAGCAGCGGCCAGCGGCTCGCTGGCAGCAGGACGCCCGCTGAGGTGACGCGCGGATGGATGAATGGGGTGGATCGGGACGGCACGGGACCGCTGGCTGACGGTTCAGCGTTTAAAGCTAAACTAGACCGATAAATGAGGTTGTAACAGATAAGATAATGGGGAAGTGATCACGCTTGGTATCTGAAATTAAGTGTGACTCTTCAGCTGATGCGCAGAGATGTGCGGGGCCGATGTCAGCGGCAGGATAGCTGTACCGTAACCTACCGTAGCATCCCTGGCTAACGTAACCTGAGTCAACCCGGAGCTGAAATAACGTGATCGGGCTCGAGGCCCTGCTCCAAGATAAATCACCATTTTAAGAGCTGATTTTTAAACCTGTAAACCCATCTGTGAGGGGAGAGGAGCTGGTGTCAGGCAGGCGGTGAAAGTGTGTTGATCCTCTTCAGCACCATGGACAGGGCTGCAGCTACTGACGACTTCTTTTCTTTGTAGACCGTAAGATACTAGCCTGGTTCCAGACCTCTGAGTGAATGAAATCAAATGGCTAATTGATCTGATCATCAGGCTAGTAATGTGTGATTGAAAGCACAGAAAGCGGACTTTCGAGCTTTGATTTCTTAGTGCGCAGTTCCACTTTGAGAGAGTATTGAATTGTGTTTGTTGACAACTATATTCGCAAAAGGTTTTTGGCCTTTTACAATATTTTTGAATAATTGCCACCTACATGTACAGCTAGGCTGCAAGATAAGATAAGAAAACTTTATTGTCCATTAAATTCACATGAAATTAAAATTTGTCTTTGGCAGTCTGCCACCACAGTTTAAATCAGACAGACAGTTCTCACAACTAAAATACATCCTCTGCAGCAGCAGTGCTCATTGGCTATGGAAGGGGAGGGTGGGGTGGGGGTGCGCTTATTTTATTATTTATTTATTATTTATTATTATCTGAACTACAGGGGAAATATGTTCTTCTGTTTAAGTCCAGGTGGCTTTGTGGTGGGGTTCAAGCCAGGCCTGGTAATGTAGGGCATTTTGCATGTGCTCTGAGGGCTTGGCGGACGTTGCAGGCTAACATTTGAAGGAGGGAGAAAAAAAAAACCAGCGAGAAGGGTCTGAACAGATTGTGCTGCAGCCTGGAGTCATGGGACAGACATACATCTCCTTCACCCTCTCTTTAATGATGACTGTGGGAGATTAACATAGCTTGCACCTGTTTCGGTGTGTGCATGTAGAGGTGAGATTTTACATCATGGTAGTGTGTGTGTTTTTTTTAGGAAGGTGACCTGGAGCATTCCATTCATTGTAATTTAGCTAACGCTTTACAGACAGCATATGAGAATTACTAAATGGTTATTTGTCCCGTTTCATTTCAGCCCTACTTCATTGTCTACTCATTGGCAACTCTGCAGAAAGGCACCTAGAATCAGGATTGTAGCCGCACACTGAAGTTTAAGAACTGCATCTGAATCATGGGGAACATTTTTGGGAATTTGCTGAAGAGCCTCATAGGGAAGAAGGAGATGAGGATCTTGATGGTGGGGCTCGATGCTGCAGGAAAAACAACAATCCTCTACAAGCTGAAACTGGGGGAAATAGTCACCACAATCCCAACAATTGGTGCGTGCATAGTCAAAATAGCATTTGTTGTAAAGTACTGTCATGCCCCCCATGTTTGCCTTACGTTTTGTATGAACTCGCCCTTGTTTTCAGGGTTTAACGTGGAGACGGTGGAATACAAGAACATCAGCTTCACTGTGTGGGATGTGGGTGGGCAGGACAAGATCCGCCCCCTCTGGAGACACTACTTTCAAAACACGCAGGGTGAGCAGAGCTAATCAAAGGGTAACACCGGCCTAAATAGACACTCTTAAGAGACACACTCTTCTTTTGTTTGTTCCTCTCACTGTTTCCAGGTCTAATCTTTGTGGTGGACAGTAATGACAGAGAGCGTGTGAACGAAGCAAGAGAGGAGCTGATGAGGATGCTGGCTGAGGATGAACTGAGAGATGCAGTCCTCCTTGTGTTTGCCAATAAACAGGCAAGAAACCATAACAGTTCTGCATACACACACACACACACATGCACAGTACATATATATTAATACATAACAGGGGGTTGTAGCGGAGGATCAACACACATGACCCCACATCTTAGTATCGTTGAGATAAACTTCTACTTTCAAAACTAATTAATTGTGATCGAAATTCAAAGATGATATTAACTGTTACTGATAAAAACTCTCTTTTACAGCATTTTCATTGTAGTTTCATTACATTTACAATTTGACACAGTGGAGACAGAGAAGAAAGCCTCAGCTCATCAAGGCTACAACTATCTTGGGTCAAGAAGAATTAATCAATTGACTATTTATTTTAGCTCTTAAAGGGATAGTAAGTGAATGTAATCCAAAACACTTTTTGTATAATTCAGCAAATAATTCCTATAATAATAGTTTGCTAGCTCTCCTTTTTGTGTGTGCTCTGAAAACAAAATCCAGTTTTCGTATACAGCCCAGGCTCGCGGTGTATTTGTTTAGCATTTGAGTTCAAATATCAACAATCCTTCTGCAGAGTAACTTACTCTCCCTTTCCTACTGCAAAAAAATGTGGCAAGTATTTCTAAATTGTAAAAAAAAATCCTAAATATAAAAATGTAGTTTTCAGCCTTTCCAACATAATTCATTCCTAAACAAACTGATGCTTTGCAATTTCACTGAGGATTTTACTAATTTGGTACATAAGTATTAATATCATCTCGACATACACTTCCTTTCTGTTGTTAATGAGTTGTTTGCTTTTGATGATCACTTACTAGAGTGCATCATTTAGGGAAATATGCTTATTTGCTTTTATGCCGAAAGTTAGATTGATACCAGTCTCCTTTCTGTCCCTTAAATATGAAGCTAAGCTATCAAGCTAAGCTACCCGTCTGCTGGCTGTAGCTTTACATTCACTGAACAGACAGGAGTGACATGAATCTTATCATCTATCTTTCATTAAGAAAGCGAACGTATTTCTCAAAATGTAGAACTATTCCTTTAAAGTTTACCATTTAATTTTAGAACGTATAATTGCATGCACATTACTATGGCTGCAGTCATTATTAATTAATCTGCAGATTATTTTCTCGATTAAGTAATTGTTGTTTAGTGTTGGTCTATAAAATGTCAGAAAATAGCTGAAAATGTCCTCCATAATTTCACAGAGGCTAAGGTGATGACTTCAAACTGCTTGTTTTGTGTGAACAACAATCAAAAATCCAAAGATTTTTTAATTTGCAATCATATATGACGAAGAAAAGCAGCATATCTTCACAATGAAAAGCTGGAACCAGATGTTTTTTGGCACATTTCCTGTAAAAAAGATTTAAATTGAAGTACACAGTCTACAGTAAATGCATGCATACATATTTAACCCCAACAACACAAGAAGACATCAGCTATCCGGTCTTTAGGGTCTTTCCTTGACTTACTTTCTCCTCACTGAACTCTCTCCTCTTTGACAGGACTTACCAAACGCCATGAATGCTGCAGAGATCACAGACAAGTTGGGCTTACACTCCCTGCGTCACCGCAACTGGTACATCCAGGCCACATGCGCCACCAGCGGCGACGGCCTCTATGAGGGTCTTGATTGGCTGGCCAATCAACTCAAGAACAAGAAATAAGGAGAAAACTGGAAAAAGCCGCCAGCACCCACACCCGACCAACTTTTGATTTGTTTTGCAAGTTAGGTACAAGGGTTTTGATTGATAGGTGAAAAGCATGATTCTGGGTTTGGGGAGACTTTAGGCTTGAATTTTCTGTCTGTTGAGGTTCTAATAGTTTTCAATGCTTATTGAAAACAGATTGTTATGTACTTCATATTTAACCAATCACACACACACACACACACACGCACAAATGCACCCTAACCGTAAGCAATCACAGCAGACACTTTCCTGTGTCCACCTCTTGTCCTTAGGTGCAATGTACTGTATGTTAGTCTATAGGTGCTGTACCAAGTCATGTGTGACTCCACTGACTCAGCAACGAGTCAAGTGGGACTTTTTGTTGATGTACATCTTTTAACTGTCATTCGTCCATGCAAAGAACTGTTCTGTGTCAGTTGCACTTCCTGTTTTGTTTAGTTTTTCTTTCCCGCGGCCATGTTTGAGAACAATCACAGCTAGCCGATTCATGTCACTATAATTCACTTTAATGGTTTGCTCTCCCTTTTAATTTGTGAGCAATGCTGAGGCACTTTGATACTCAGATAAAGTGTATGTGTGTGTGTGTGTGTGTGTGTGTTTGTGCGAGCAGCCCAGTTGCTATTAATCCTGAACAACTCAAAAGGACTGGAGTTTCCTCTGTCACACGTCCTCTTACTGCCTCATTTTGGAAATCTTTTTGATATCTGTGGCGTGTTTCTACTACCCCCCCCACCCCCCCACCCCCCCCATGTGGCAACCTGAAGCGCCCAAGCCGCCCTTTTTAAATATTTTAAAACGCACAACACGTTCTCGGCAGCCTGGTCTGCATGCATCCTGGTAGATCTTGCTCACATTGTTACAAACTGCATGGACGTTGACGCTGTTTGTAGGTTTTCTCTAACTGCCCTCATCGTGTTCTGGTGATGTTTACAGTAGGACGTAGAAACTAACAGAAATGGTTTCTGCATGTAGTCGTCAACATGCGCTAAATTCAGTATAATCAGCTTTATGGTCTTTTAAAGTGAAAGCAGTATATAGGTTAACCTGCACAGCTGCTGCCTTCAGGTGTGTACATATGAGTACTCAAACTGCATCAGGTTGCTCTCGCTTTTGTGTGTTTTTGTGTCAGAGTTGCATATTGGGGTTTGGGTGTATGACTCTGTTGATAACTCTGTGTTGCTGAATGTGAATATTGTTGATGAATCTATATATGGCTGTGATGATATTTATTTGACAAGCATATTCCAGTGGTGCGTCGACATAATTATGTGAAAGGAAGCAGGGTAAGCAGATCAATTCATTCATCAGCACATCCACGACTCACTTCTGAACAGAGTAACTGCATCATCACTGATACCAGCAGAATCCACATACTTACTGTCAATAAAACTATTTCTCTGTGCCATACATGGGTACTACTACTCGTGGAAAATACTGTAAATTCACTCCAGCAAGTTGTAAGTGCATTGTTCATATCTTTCCCATGTTAAATCATGAGTTTGATCGTTTGGGTTTTGTGGCCTTATATTTAGTGATGACTTTGAATTGATTTCCTCTCAGCTTGTTTGGTTCTGATTTTGAGTCACATATATTTATCTATAAAGAATGATTTCCAGATGTATTGGGTCTATTCCCTCAAAAGGCAGGTTTTGCACCACAGTTCATGCAAAAGTTTTGTCCTTGTGTTTGCCAGTATACTTCCATGTGGTTGTAGAGTTCTTTGGTTTTCTTTGGGGTGTAAAGAAACTTTGATGTAGACTGTGTCTGTTAAACAATGATAATCCGTGCAAACAAACCCTTGGTCATTCATTCTGTACCGTTATAGTTACACAAGTAGACGGTCTTCAAAACGGTGAAGACCATGTTTCAATGCTGCACGCTTGGAAACATCTGTATGTGATGTAAGACAACAAACAAAATCCTTCTGTGTTACAAATAAACCCATTTTCTTTATGACATGTCTCATCAACTGTGAGTGAGTTTTACTGATGGATTTCATACTTACATCTTCAAGCACTCTATTTTATAGCCGTGCTTACAATCAACAAATGAAAGAAAAAGTAGAGAAGATTTTGCTGTGACCAGCTTCGACCAGAAGAGGTCATTCTTTAGCAACTGTATCTGTTCAATCAATGTGGTCTGAGGCATGAAGAGCTGCGTCTACATTTTATAAGTTACATTTTGGGGCTTCTTTAATTCAAAATTTTCTGTCCTGGAGACCACAGACCCTCTTTAACATCTAAAAAACACACTTAACATTGTTTTATAACCTTACTTCATGATGTCTGTGAAGATTCTCAGTCATCCAGGTCATAGTTATCCAATGAAGGTTAAAGTCAAGGGCAACTGGACTTCATGACTTTTCTAATTTTGTGAGCATTGCTGCATTATAAAGATGATTTTGAACTGATGTTGTTTCTGAAGTCTGCTACAAAAAATGGCACATTTTCTCTGTTTGTGGTATCAGATCCAAGCTGAAAGACATGAAATAAACAGTAATAATATCCATATATAATAATACAGTGACTTTTATCTGCACTTTTTATAGTGATTGATTTTAACATTTCTTTTTTACACAGCTCTACCTCTCACAAAACAAATGTGTATGTGTGTATAGGCCTATATACCAGAGTTTGCCAGGTCTCTCCAAAATTATTTGAACATGAAGGCTGATTGGACTTGAGAGCTCACTCAGTAATTCTAAAAATTTTGGCTGTGGCCATATATATCTTATATATCTGGTGCAATTTTTGTCCATTTTTATAAATTGTACCACAAAACTGTATAATATTTTGTAGCTTGCAGAGTTTGTTGAATTTTGGCAATCAGTTATACTGAAATCTTCATTAAAGAGCAGTTTGTTTCTTCAACACACATGTTTTGAGTACAGCTGATTACATATGGGTCAAATAGACTTTCCTCATGTAAGTAAGGACAAACATGTTTGTCATAACAACAGATTCCTGATAAGTTCTGATGTTGAAAGACGCAGTGTGTGTGTGTGTGTGTGTGTGTGTGTTAACTCTGGCTTGTGCTACTTTGTTATTGGGAATACAAAACTCGGCTGCTGTTCTTCTGCCACAGCCATTTGTGATGTTACAATCTTTTTATCTTTCCTTGTTTCTCGGCAGCTTATTTTCTGTGACAACAAAAAGGAAAGAAATACTTTTGGAAATCACTTCCTTGTAGTGGTGAAATATTAACCATTTGTTTCTAACCCTAACGCCCCTCTGACATTTCAGACAGACTCTGACTGGAAACGAAGCAGCTTTCTGGTGAACTGGAGACTATTTTTTTTCTGGCAGATGTATAATTCCATGTAATTAAGATAGATAGAAAAACAGCAAGTTTGTGACAGACTGACAGGAGCTGCAGGCAGAGCCTGTTTCTACACAGCAGTTAAGCTGGCTCGCCCACTCTTACAGGCAGATGATGTTTGCTTGAGGTTTAAGTGACAAACATGACAAGATGACAAGAGATAAGATGTTCTTGCCAAACCAGACATTAGTCTGGTTTCAAGAAGAGCACTTCCTGCTGCACACTGGAAGAGATGTTTAGCAGTCACGCATCCAGCAATTAGCTAATGCACAACTTTTACATAAAGTGCAAAGTACAGCAGTAAAATGATGCAGCAATGAAATAATCTTACAAATATGCAGGCCACCAGTGTGAAGGACTGGAGGGGTCAAAGCCGGATTGTTAACAAATTTAAGAAATGTTCCTTAGGATCAGGTGTGACAGAATGACTCATACAGAGAAGCAGGAATAGAACAGATTTTCATGGCTATTTAGTAGACAGTATTAGAGGAGATATGATTTTTTTCAGGGGAGTAAAATGGTCCATTCTTTGTTGAGAGTTGTGTTTTAAGGTTATGAGGGGGAAAGAGGAAGTGACTCACCTGTTCTGTCCGTTATGATAAAACCACTTAAACATCAAGGAACCACAAGGGAGGGAAAAGTTTCATATGACCAGTTAATTGAAAGGCATACTGAAAACTAAGATCCATGGTCCAAAATGGCAAAATGAAAAAACAAGTGCTTGTGGAGACCTGAATAGCTTTAGAAATTGTTGTGAATATTTGCATATTCACAACAACTTCCACAACTTCCAAGTTCCAACAGTTAGAGGGACATGTATTCATTAATCTATGACAAATGCAGAATGAGGGGGGAACTCTGCTGCAAGGCGCCTAACTCACATTAGCAAAAGAGTGCACATGTTTTAGCTTTTTAGTTATACTAGGGTTTATGGCTGTCTGATTTATGTATTTTCACACAAGTACATGATACGCAAATGCCTCTTTGTCAGATCATCCCGTGGAGCCAAAGATGCCATTGAGAGTGAAAGTGGGACCTTTACTGCTACTGTCATCCCAGCTGCTCTCTCTCCACATTTCCCATCGTTCTTAGCCATCAAACCTTCAGATAAAGGCAAAATGCTCCATCTCTCTGTGGTTAAAGGGTTTGGGACTTGTTGACTGTATAGTGTAAACGGACTCAATGACTGGTGGTTGTTTAGTGAATTGCTGCTTTAAGTAGGCTACAATTTTGTAGGAATGCATACAACCTGTGCACACTTTGCAGCATGACAATAATTCCCCTTCCTGTACTTTTGTACATTTTATCATGTACTTAAATTATTTTCTTCTTCCCAGATCTCGACTAAAAATGAAGTCACACCAGGCATTGGCTGGTTTTGCGCCTGCACTTTGCAACAGTTTATCACCCCCTTCAAATTATATCACTTACAGTTCCCTCCAAAAGTATTGGAACGGTAAGGCAAATTACTTTGTTTTTGTTGTTCACTGAAGACGTTTGGGTTGAAGATCAAAAGATGAGTTCATGAGACAAGAGTTCAGAATTTCAGCTTTTATTTCCTGGTATTCACATCTAGACATGTTAAACAACTCAGGACATATCACCGTTTGTATTAGACCCCAGCATTCTTAGGTGAGCAAAAGTAATGGAACAAATAATTTTAAAGTGAATAACATTTAATATTTGGTGGCATAACCCTATCTTACAATAACTGCCTCAAGCCTGCGATCCATCGACATTACCAAACTGTTGCATTCTTAATTTGTGATGCTATTCCAGGCTTTTACCACAGTTCTTTCAGTTCTTGTGTGTTTCGAGGTGTTTCTCCCTTCAGTCTCCTCTTAAGGAGGTGAAATGTATGCTCTGTTGGGTTAAGGTCAGGTGATTGACTTGGCCAGTCTAAAACCTTCCACTTTTTCCCCCTGATGAAGTCCGTTGTTTTGTTGGCAGTGTGCTTTGGGTCATTGTCCTGCTGCATGATAAACTTCCTCCCAATTAGTTTCAATGCATTTCTCTGTAAATTGGCAGACAAAATGTTTCTGTACACTTCTGAATTCATTCTGCTGCTACCATCATCAGTTACATTGTCAATAAATATTAATGAGCATGTTCCAGAAGCAGCCATGCACGCCCAAACCATGACATTACCTCCACCATGCTTCACAGATGAGCTTGTATGCTTCGGATCATAAGCAGTTGCTTTCTTTCTCCACACTTTGGCTTTTCCATCACTTTGGTAGAGATTAATCTTCATCTCATCAGTCCATAAGATTACCTTACGAGTTATTAGGCCTTACGAGTCTTCCTGCTGATGAGTGGTTTGCATCTTGTGGTGTGGCCTCTATATTTCTGCTCTCTGATTCTTCTTCCAACAGTGGATTGTGATACCTTCACCCCTGCACTGTGGAGGTCGTTGGTGATGTCACTTACAGATGTTCTGGGTGTTTTCTTCACAGCTCTCACGATATTTCTGTCATCAACTACTTCTGTTGTCCTTGGCCGACCTATTCGACATCTGTTGCTCAGTACACCAGTAGTTTCTCTCTTTTTCAGGACATTCCAAATTGTTGTGCTTGCTACGCACAATGTTTGTCCAATGGTCAATTTTTCTTCTTTTCTCAGCTTGACATTGGCTTGCTTTTCTCCCATAGACAGCTCTCTGGTCTTCATGTTGATTTATCCTCTTTAACAGGAAATACAGCCTTTATAGGTTTGAACCAAGGATGAAAACTTAGACTAGTCATGCAGAGCTATTTATGTTTGGACAATCAACCTAAAACGCAAAACCTGGGCAAAAGGAAAAATCTGTCAGTCACATGTTCCAATAGTTTTGCTCACTTGAAAAATGGGTGGGTTCAAACAAACAGTGATATGTCCTGAGTTGTTTAACAAATCTAGATTTGAATTCCAGGAAATAAAAGCTGAAATTCTGAACTCTTGTCTCATACTCATCTTTTGATCTTCAACCCAAATGTCTTCAGTGAACAACAAAAACAAAGTAATTTGCCTTACCGTTTCAATACTTTTGGAGGGGACTGTATATTCCTTCACCTTTTCTTAACCGATGGTTTTTAAAATTTCGTTTCTGTTTGTAAACTCTTTTATTGCTCTTGGCTCTTGTCCTGTCTGTTTAATATAATGATTTTATTGTGAAGCACTTTGTAGGCTAACTTTTGTTTTGCAAATTCAAAACACCCAAAGCCTCCCACATCCAAACTACTGAATGCATCCATCCATGTTTTTCATGACAAGAATCATCTTCATATTTTCCCATATGTGTGTGACAAAAGGAAACTTACAGCAGGTGCTAATGCACCGTTCGAGGCGTGTTCAAGGTTCCCATCGGGTTTCCAGGTTTTAAAAGCAATTCCGTGTTCTGTGTAGTGCTAAGGCCGCAGGCAGGGCCCTCCCACATAAATCAGTGCCAGATAAACAGGCGCTCCTGCCGTTGATTGGCTCTGCCCCGCGCTCCAATCACTGAGCTGTAGTGATTCCTCTCACACAGACCGGAGCTGGAAGCCTGTAAAGTTGCGGCTCAGATAAATGACAAACACAAACAGGTTTCTACTACAGGGCGGATTTACTCCTTCATTTGACAACTAGAAGAAAAGCGAAGGAAAGGAATTTTAAGCGCCGGACA